TTCTCCAGCCTTTAACTGTTGAACCTTTGATTGAGTCTACGCTATGCTAGGCCCAGCACAGGCTGAGTGAAGTATACGGACAAAGATCCTGCCCTTGGGAGGCCCACAATCTACTTGGGAAAACACATATATACAATTAGTCATCATCACTGTTTATTGAACAAATAAATGATTGTACCGTCCATCAAGGTAGCTCTGGACACCTGGGTGGGGACAGGAAAGGTGACCTAGAGGAAGAAGGAGTAGGATCTTGAAGACAGAAAAACTCTGAATTCAGACAGGCCTGAACAGGGAATTCCAGGAGAAAGCTTGAGCAAAAGTATGGATGTGGGAGAGTGAAGAGACAATAGGTGTCTGAGCATAGCACAAGGTGGATGTAAGTGAGGAAGAGGAATAAAATGAGAGCACTGGGGCTGGATCATGGAAGGCCACAAATGCCGTATTAAGGGGTGTGGTACTGTGGGAGCCACAGGAGGTTTTAGTGCAGGCAAATGATGTGACAAGAGAGACGTATGAGGGATTATCCAGTTTAAGTCAGCAAAAGGTGAAGAAAGGGTATGAGGTTAACAGGAAGCAGATGTGATGGGCAGAGGCTCAGGGTTGCAAAGAATGAGGATGGTTTGGGGATACCACTCCAAGAGCCAAAACACTGCTCCCTCACTCCTACCCCTCTTCCCCAAGCCACTGGGTATTGTTTCCTGGTTCCTTCTCCTAGTTGCTAGGATTGAGAAGTCCCTCGGGTTTCAGATTAGGCCGGGACAGGATTTTATCAGCATAGCAGAAGCTCTGGCCTAGTTCCCTTCCCCCACAACCCCCCCTCCCAGTGAGACAGATGGGCAGTGCCCAGATTCATCCCCACCAGCCCTGCTCTACTGAGAGAGGATGCACAAACTCTGGAGATGCTGAGGATGTGTACTTGCGGTCTTTCCAGCCACTTCTCAGGCCACTGGGAATGCTGGGGGCCTAGAATATGGGACTGGAAGAATCCTGAGGGTGATGACTTTGAAAGAATCTCTAAAAGGTAACTTGGATGTTTCAGCAGATATGAAAATTGAGGCCCAGAGAGATGACACGACTTGCCTGAGGTCACACAGCAAGTTTGGGGAAAGGATAAAGCCCAGGTCTCCTGGGGGAGGCTGAAGCACCCTCAGGCTTTGATTATCTGGTGCTTGTAGAGAGTCGAGAGTGTTGGAGCCAGGAGCTATATGTTCAAATTCTGGCTTTGCCATTTACTATAACTGTGTGACCCTGATTCCTCAACTGGAAAATGGGGATAACACCTACCTTTTCAGTTGTTATGAAGAATAAAAACACATATATAGCAGTATGACACAATACCTGGCACTCAGTAAGTGCTCAAAAATGTCAGCTAATGGTCTGGCAGCAGCAATAGTTGTTGGATGTGTTACTGAGTATGAATCTATGTACTAACCATGAGATCTGTTTCCCTGTGTGGTGGTGGTATTGTTTAGTCACCCAGTTGGGTCCCACTCTCTGCAACCCCACCGACTATAGCCCGCTAGGCTCCTCTGTCCATGAAATTCTCTAGGCAAGAAAACACTTGAGTGGCTTGCCATGAGATCTATCTCAGTTTCCCCGTGTGTACATCGGGGTTAATAATCAATCAATCCCTGTCTCTCACTTTTCTGTCTTGCCCCAGTAGGAATATGGATTAAATAAGGTGTGTAAGGGCTTCCCAGGTAGCCAGTGGTGAAGAATGAGCCTGCCAATGCAAGAGAGGCAAGTTCCATCGGGAAGATCCCCTGGAGAAGAAAATGTAACCCACTCCAGTATTCTTGCCTGGGAAATCCCGTGGACAGAGGAGCCTGACAGGCCACAGCCCATGGGGCCACAAAGAGTCGGACACGACTTAGCACACACACGCACAAGATGTGTAAACTTTCCAGTGTAGAGTACTCTCTAGGTCAATGTTTATTTAGCCCAAAGCAACTCCTCTCCAAGTTCTACCGGCAAAATTTCCCTGTCAGCCTAACCAACTCTTCTATACTTCTGCGATCCCCTGGAACCAGGGAAGAGGGTTGTCCCCCACCTATTAAGCTTGCCCAGCCGAGGAAAAAAAAGAGTGGGCAAGCAGCGAGCGTGTACGTTAAGAAAGGGAGACAGAAAAGGCAGAGTCCAGAGCCGGGTGGTGGGGAGGCTGGAGTGCACGAGCGTGGTGTGGAGTTGAGAAAAGTGTACAGACTGAGGGACTTGAATGTAAGATGCAGGTGAAAGGACAAGAGAGGCGGCGGGAGAGGTGAGGGCGCTGACAGATGCGAAGGGAGTGCAGCAAGATGGGGATCTCGTAGGAACTAGTGGGAATTCCCCTCTTAGAGAGGTCCGTGGGTCGCCCAGAGGCAGGGCGGTCCAAGCTTCCAGCAGTTGTTTCTCCAGGCCTCCTCTTCCCTAGCCTGGGAGTCTGGGATCCCGGCGAGGGAGCCACTAGCCGGCTAACCGCGGAGGAGGCGGGGAGGGGGAATCCGCAGTCTGGGATTGGCCGCCGCTTGGCCGGGCGGTGACGCGAGGCGGGCGGGCCCCTTTGTGACGTCACAATCAGCTGTTTGAACGTTCCAATTTGTGCAGTGAGTCCAGCGGCGGCGGCTGTAGACTCAAAGCTTCGCGGGCGAGCGCAGTCAGTCTGAGCGTCCGACGCGCTCCCAACCCAGCTCCCGCGATGCTGCCGGGCCTGTGATCCGCCGCCGACTCCGGGACGCTCCACCTCACAACTACCTCAGCGCCACCTGGTTCCGCCGCACCGCCCCCAGTCCCCAGGTGAGTTCCGAGCGGCTTTGGCCAGGGGGCCTCCTGGAGCCTCGGGACACGCCCCGCGCCCCCAGTTCCCGGGTCTTTGTCAGTCTCCGCCGGCGGCTGCCGGGGCTGCATTCTGGGCTCGGGATTGGCTGCCCCCCGCCCGGTAGACGGTGACGTCTCCCTATTTGCATATGACATTGAGACGTCACCAAGGCCGGCACCGCCCCCCCCCCACCCCCTCCCGACTCGGGTCGCTTGTCCTCCGGTGACCCGTTGGGCGCTGGGTCGGAACTGGGCCCATGAGTGAGGGACGCTGAAGGCAGCGGGACCAGAGGGCCCTCCTGTTTCCTGGGCTAACCCAGGAGATGAGGTCAAACCTCTGATCTTCTGCTTTCTCCTTAGACTTGAGAGAGGTTGGAAGAGATTTGAGAGAGGTTCCGAAGGCACAGCTGGGTCTAGATAGGGGGAAGGGGTTGTCAGAAGTTCTAGAGCCCCTGAAGCTTGAACTGTAGATCGCTGGGGCAGTGCCAAGTGGTGGTGCAATCTCCTCCCTCTGGCTCCAGGCTCTGCGCCCCTGGGACTAACATAATAACATTCTCCTAATCCCTGACATGTGTGCAGCGCCTTAGCTGACGTCGTTCCCAGCCCCCGAACGAGGGGTCTTAGAGCCCATTTCATGGAAGGAGAAACCGAGTCCCTGAGAGGGGAAGTGGCTTACTCGAGGTTGTGCAGCCAGTTACAGTCATGCCTCCCTAGTGAGTGGCGGATCCATTAGCCACTGGCACATACCTAGTAGAAGCTTATTACAAGTAACAAATTACACATCCTCCTTGCACCTAAGACTCTACTTGGGTTAGTTCAGTTCAGTCGTTCAGTCGTGTGGGACTGTTTGCAACCCCATGGACTGCAGCACACAGGCCTCCCTGTCCATCGCCAACTCAAACTCATGTCCATTGAGTCAGTAATGCCATCCAACCACTTGGGCTAAGCCCCATCCAAATTTGATAATGCTCCCAGATTTCCTCACTCCTGGATCTTTTTCCAGGAGGTCTCTGGAAACTGGGTCCCCTATTGAGGCCCCGACCCTCATTCTGTACCTCAGAGTTCTGGAGCCCAGTAAAATCACTGCCTCCCAGCTGTTTTGGCCACAGAAAAGTGAGTCAATGGCTGCATCAGGGTGTCTCCCGGGCCAATGTTGGGATGGGGTGGAGATGAGAGTTCCCTCTATTTGGCTGTCCTTCACCTCCCACCCTGGTGGCTCAGATGGTAAAGAATCTGTCTGCAATGCAGGAGACCAGAGTTCGATCCCTGGGGTCGGGAAGATCCCCTGGAGAAGGAAATGACAACCCACTCCAGTATTTTTTTTTTTTTTTAACCTTTTAGATTTTTATTAGTAGTTCTCTCTGAAGAATCAAAATAGTTAGCAAATTACTTTAGATTCATCAAGACTGTATATCCTTTGTATTTAGATCTTTAATGATGTACAACATAATACAAAACAAACCAAAGAGACTGATTTCTATGACTAGGTGTTATTTGTTGTGTTGTCCTAGAGCAGGGGCTGGAGGGAGAGGCTGTTCTCCAGGGAGAACTGAGGTGGTCGCTCCAGTATTCTTGTCTGGAGATTTCCATGGACACAGGAGCCTGGGAGGCTAGTCCATGGGGTCACAAAGAGTTGGACACAACTGAGCAACTATCACTTTCACCTTGCACCCCCAGAGCTGTCAGCTAGAAAGGATTGACCTGGACTAAGGTGATTACAAAGCGTGTGCTCCCCTCTCTGCTCACAGAGAAGCACCAGAGACTGAGCAGGAGAAGGGGATCCTCTGACTTTCCAAGTAGATGGGCCTATGGGTTGGACCAAGAGTCCTATCTCAGCCTAGACTCTGCTCACAGATGGGCTGGGGTAGAGGTGGCTTGGGGCTCAAGTGTTATTCCGGGCACAGCTGTTGCAGTTATTAAAGGGAATGGTTCTCCCAGGAGCAGAACTGGGAATGTGAGAACCAGGAAGTTGGCAGGGCTGGGAAAGAAAAATTCTGGGAGCCTCCCTCTGTGGTCATGAGAGGGGGCGGGCACTGGCTGGCTGGTGAGGTTGTCGCTTCTGGCTCTGTCACTGACTTGCTGTGTGACCTCGGCAGGGAGCTTTCCCAACCCGAAGCCTTCCTTACCTCAGTCTGTTTGTAATTTGAAGAGACCTGGAGCAGACTCTGGTACACAGTGGGTGCTTTGGTAAATGCAGGCTGAATCTCAGTGCCAGGAACCTCAGACCCTTTTATAGCTGGACAGAGGGCCCCCTGAGAGGGGCAGAGACTTGATCAAAATCTGACTCCTGTCTGACTTCCCCCGTCTCCCCTGCATCGTTATATTTTGGGGGGTTGTTTACTGAGGGGTTCCTGACTATGTACACTTCAGACCCAAGGCTCAGTGACCTGGTGCTAGGCCTGTTCTGCCGCCATCTAGCTGTGTGTCTTTGGACGGATTTATGTCCTCCGATTCTCAGCTTATAAAATGGGCTGTGTGAATATTATGGTTTCTGAAACACCTGTTCATTTTCTTTTCATTTTCTTGATGAAGCAGTAGGTCCTTGGAAAGAGGGTGTGCCTCATCAAGGCCCCAGTCTTTCGCTTCCTTCAGGAGAGGTCAAACTCTCTGAATTTTTGGTAACTGAGTCACTAACTCCCTGTGGCTACAAATGGGCTGGGATTTGTGGCTTGTGCTGGGCGGGCACTGATTGAGGGTGACCCAACCTTTCATAATCCCTGAAAATCTACCACCGGGGAGGCCAACACCCAGGCACCACTTCCTTCTGGAGCCCACTGTGGGGTCTGCAAATGTATACATACTCTCAGGGTGTAGACCCTAGGTGATTCTGTGACAAGTGTGAAAAATATACCCAGGAATTGGAAGAGGTGCAACAACCATAGAAATACCCCAGGTGGGTTTGCAATAAAAGTAGAATGCCTCCAGGGAGTGGAAGTGTGGCTGTATCCCCAGGGAGCTTTATAGGAAGTGTGGAAACATCCTTAGAGGAAGGTGACAAGTGGCTGAGTAGCAAAACTGTTGGCTATCTTCAGGAGAGTCAAGCTTTAGGGACATCTAGGGGGCCTGGCCAGCAGCCCCTAACCCAGGTCTAGTCCTGAAGTAGGCTTGGTGTTTCCATTCCTGGAGCAGGGGGTCTCCTTTCTCATCTTCACCCAGGGAAGGACTGATTGAGAACTTGAGTCCTGGTCCAACCCTCAGTCCTCATCCTTAAGGGCCCTTGGGGTCTGATGGCTCTCTCCCTCCATCATCACCTCCCACTGACCTGCTGTCTCCCTGAAGATCAGGCAACCTGATCAGGCGACATGATCTTCCTCCCTAACCAGGGATGCTATCCTTGAGCAGGAGCTTGGGAATAGTGGGGATGAGAGTGGAGGGCCTGTGGGAATAGGACCTTCATCTGACAGACACGATTGAGGTTTATGCAATCACGTGGTGAGATGGTAGCTGTTGTGTGGGATTTCTGCTAGTGAGCCCTTTTCAAGCCACACAGGCTCAAGTAGTGGTTCTTTTTTTTTTCTTTTTTAATTTTATTTGGCTGAACCAGGTCTTAGTTGCAGGGCTCGGGGTCTTCAATCTTCGTTGCAACATGTGGGATCTTTAGTTGTGGCATGTGAACTCTTAGTTGCAGGATGTGGGATCTAGATCCCTGACCAGGGATGGAACCTGGGCCTCTGAGTAGGGAGGGCGGACTCAGCCACTGGACCACCAGAGAAGTCCTCTCAAGTAGTGATTTTTAATCTCTGGGGTCAAGGACTGCTGTTTAGGAAATCATGATGAAAACCAAGGTCCTTCTGTTCAGAAAAATACACATGGACCATGGTCCCAGGCCACTAAATTAAAAATGCCTAACCCAGACTGATACCCAGCAAAGGCAATGGAGTATAGTGATCTGGCATCTGTGTGGATTAGAATCCTCCCTCTGTGTTTTACTAGCTGTGAGATTTTAGGCAAATCATCATGTCCCTGAGCCTCAATTTCTTCACTAGTAAAAGAGGGCTAATAATTATATCCATTTCCTAGAGTTATTGTGAAGATTACATGAGGTAATATAGGTTAAAGGCTTAATACAGTACTTGGTACATGAATGTTAGCTATATGATGATGATGATGATGATAAATAATAATGATATTGGGCAGTTTCTTCCTTGCCTGGAGAACTGTTTTTACCCTTCAAGGTCCAGGTTGGACGTCCAGTCCTTTGAGGACCTTCCCTGATAAAGTCTTATATATCAGTCCTAGAGCATGCAATAATATTAACAATTATTAATAATAAACTAGTTGATTAGTTTATCGAATGCCTAGTCTGTATCCAGGTACTGTTCTGAGCACTTTGTGTTTAGCTCATTTAATTCTCATGAGAGCCCAGAAAAGGATAGTGTTATTAGCTCATTTAATTCCTTTAAGGTCTGAGAGGAGGATACTATTATTCTTGCCATTTGATAGATGAGAAAACTAAAGCACAGATACATTAAATAACTTCTAAGGTCATACAGAAAACAGAAAAGCCTGAAGGCAGGCTGACTTAGCAGAAAGTGAACAAACAACACATACACGCAAATGTATACACACACACACACACACACACACACACACACACACACAAAAGGGCAAAGCTTTCCCAAACATTTCTGTTGTACTCTTATCAATGTTCTGGGTGTTGGGGAAGTTGGGGGGAGAGCAGTCCCTGGTACCTCTGACTCCTCTCTACCTCACAGGTTTCTGCACTGCCATAGACCATCCCCTTCCCCCAGGCCTCTCTGCTCCCCGACCATGCTTCAGCGCCTCACCAGCCTCTTCTTCAGTCCCCCACCACCTGCTGCTGAGGACCCCGACTGCCCCCAAGCCTTCGTCTCCGAGGAGGATGAAGTGGATGGCTGGCTCATCATTGACCTGCCCGGTAAGTCTGCCAGGACTGACTCCTGAGCCTGGGAAGTTTTCATTAGGGCACGTAGTCCAGCCATTGAGCAGGGAGCTGCTAGGGGGCTGGGGAGTTCCAAGGCAAATTGGGGCTGAGACAGTAGCATTGGAGGCTGTCCCATGCAAGCTGGGGCTCTCTCCTGGCATTTTTGCAGTCCACACCTCACGCGCCCTAGGGCAGCAGGTCAAGACTTGTGGGTGCCTGGTGGGTGTGGTTGGCGGGGCTGCGGGGCTGACTAACGATGCCCTTTTTTCCCCTGTCCATTGTGTCCTGTGTGTGTGTGTCTGTGTGTATGTGTCTCCCCACTGCGCCCCCTCCTTCCATAACCCATAGACAGCTTCACAGCTCCACCCAGACCCGGGGCCGCCACTGCCCCGGCAGGCCGCCCTCCGCCCGCACCCTCCTTGATGGATGAAAGCTGGTTTGTTACCCCTCCGGCCTGTTTTACTGCAGAGGGGCCTGGACTCGGGCCTGCTCGCCTCCAGAGCAGCCCCCTGGAGGACCTCCTCATCGAGCACCCCAGCATGTCCGTTTATGTGACCGGCAGCACCATAGTGCTGGAGCCTGGCCCTCCCTCCCCGCATCCAGAAGACGACGACGCTGCCCAGCCGGACCGAGACTCTAGCGACGGGTGAGCGGGCCGGGGGCGGAGCCTGGAGGCCTAGAGAGGAGTGTCTTGGAGCCCAGGAACCCCCGGCCCTGCCTGGGGTTAGAGGCGGGTGTTCAAGGCAAAGGGCGGGGCCGATGGGCCAGGATGTAACTCAGCCTGAAGGCAAAGGAGCCTTTGAGATTGGGAGAGGCGTGGCTTTGTGGCTGGGGAGGGGCTTGAGAAAGACTGGAATTGAGGCTTGGGGTCTTGAGAGGTTGGAAGGGCGAGGCCGCCGCGCTAAGGAGGTGTGGGGGTGGGGTACAGAATGCCAGGGTCGAATTGCAAGTTGAAGCTGAGCCTTCACAGGGCCACATTTACCCGTTTTAGAGTCTAGGACGGAGGAGGCATCTCCGGGGTGGCTTGGAGGAAGGGCTGGTACCCAAGAGAATGGCATTGGGCTCCCCACTCTGAGCAGAGACCAAACCTTGAGGAGGGTTCGGGGACAAGTGGGGGGGTGCCAGCACTCCCCTCCATTTGTCCAGCCCTGATTGACTCTCTGTCTCTCCGCGCAGGGAGCTGGCGCCTCCTCGCCGCGAACCCCGGGCCCTGCACCACGCCGCCCCTCTGCCCGCGCGGGCTGCGCTGCTGGAGAAGGCGGGCCAGGCAAGGCGGCTGCAGCGGGCCCGGCAGCGGGCTGAGCGCCACGCGCTGAGCGCCAAGGTGGTGCAGCGGCAGAACCGCGCTCGCGAGAGCCGTCCACGCCGGCCCAAGCACCAGGGCAGCTTTGTCTACCAGCCCTGCCAGCGCCAGTTCAACTACTGAGTTCCACTGGCCGTGCTGCAAGCCCCTCGCTGACTCCCGACCCCATCCAGCCCCTCCGCCGCAGCCAGATCGAGGGGGCGCCTGCAGCCCACCTCGGACTGGACACCACAGCCTCCCTTCTTAAGTGTGTGAGGTGGGCTGATCGCCTCTCTCTCCCACTCCTACTTCCCTTTCTCTGATCCTCTATTCTGCCTCTGAACACACCCCTCACCCCGCTCAGTAACCGCCCCCCACCCCCCCCCCACCCCAGCCCCGCTCCGTTCACCCTCTCACCTTCTGGCCCCTTCTGGCATCTAATCCTCCATCTCCCCCACTGACAGTCGGTCTTTCCTTCTCTGGTTCCCCTTCTGGATCTTTGCTCTGACACTCTCCATCCCCGTCTCTCCAGTCCTCTATATCCGGCTCACTCCTGTTTCTGAGAGTGTCTTCTTCCAGTCTCGAATCTGGCTCATTTCCTACCTTCAGCTCTCACTTTACAAGCCTCGCTCTATCTAATGTTTGGACCTGCATTCACTCCTGCCCCCTTATTAATTACTCAGTGATTCTCCCAGTGAGACTAGAGGGAAGCCTTCAGTCTTCCCTCTCCTCTGGAGGCTGGGCTCCTTGGAGTTGCTCAGGCATGGACAGGTAAGGTATGTGGGAAGGGACTGTGAGATGTGAGTTAGTGGGAGAAAGTGGAGGGAATCGAGGAAAAGAGGAAACCTATTGGAAAGGTAGTCAGGACAGACAGGTTGAGATGCTGTAGGGAGCAGGGCACAATAGGGGCTCGCACTGTGCTTGCTCAGAGAGGCCGTCTTGCTCTCAAGCTGGAGCCCGGAGTCTACGCCCTCATCCCTTTTCTGTAATTCACCTCCCAAATCTCTTCCCGAAATCAAACCCTCTGCAGATCCCTGTCTGAAGGGCTTAGTTAGTACCTTGCTGCCCTTACCTGCAACATGTCAACTTAGCAGTAAAGGCTGGGCAAAGCCCTGCCATCCTAGATATCTGTTCATATGCCCAAGGTGCTAGAACTAGTTTAGGAGAGATGCAGGCTGGAGGGATTCTAGGCAGGGGAAGGACACACCCCAGAATAAGAACGCAGAATGGTAATGCTGGGGAGGACAAGCTGTGGGGTGAAGCCATCCCCAAAATGGCAGCTCAGCCTTTATCTTGCCTCTGGCCTGGTATTTCACACTCTGCCAGGATGGCTAATGGTAGGAGGCCAGGAGCCCCACTGCCCCAATCCCCATAGTCCCTACCCAGGTTCAGGGCCTTTAGGGAGGGCTCTCTCCATTTCTAGGCTGCTGGGGAGAAATAGGTACCCTATGGTTTCCTCTTGCCTTCTCCTCCGCTAAGTACCTGGGAGAGGGAACCTGGATACCTGATGAGACACAGGGGATAGGGCAGTCAGCTTTCTCCTTCTCACAGCAGGATTGAATTTTGGGCTCAGACACCAGCAATAGCCTCTTGGGATGCCCCGAGTTGCTTCTCCTTTCCTCTTTCTGTCCTTTTCTAGTGTGTGCTCTTTCTTCCTTGAAACTTTTAATATTTCCTGTTACATACTAACATAGGTCTTCCCCCTCACTCCAGTTCTAGGTTTCTAGGCCTCGTGGCCAAGCTGAAGTTTAGAGAAACCTCTGCAGTGCCATGAGGGCAAAGGCAGCTGTCCTCCCTGACTTGCTAACCCTAGGCCTCATGGCAGGGTATATGGATAAGGGAGAGGGTAGCCCTACAGATGTTGGGATGGGGACAGACAAAGCCCTGTTGGGGTCTCTTACCCAAGGAATAGGCCACATTTATAATATAAAAGCAGTTCAAAGTCCCCATACTGGTCCACTAGGGCTCCAGTAGTTGACAGCTTTGCTCCTCTCCCCAAGGTTCTCCTTCAGTTACAACCTAGTCTCTTTGATTCTTCCAGCTACTCCTTGGTTACATCACAGCCAGCTTAGGGTCTTCAGCACTTCAAAGAGCTGAAACTCCCTCCGGCGCTTCTTGCCTACTCTTTCGCTGCCGGCTGGAGCTTAGGCTCAGTTCTGGGCAGTGCTGTTCACAACCCTTCTGTGGGGGAAAAGTGAGTTAGAGCATTTGGCTCCAGTTTTGGAAGGTCCCTACCTTACCCATAATTCTAAAGGCTCCTGTAGTTCTAGAACCCTCCAATATCATCACCTAGCTGGTTTTTACTTTTCCTATAGATTTCTGTAGCATTTGAGTGTGGCAATATTTTAATTGTGTATAGATCTCTAAGAACCAACACTAGTTGGTCTCCTGTTAGTCTGACTCCTGAAGCATCAGACCTTATCATACTGTACTGACTGTGTATGTGCCTTTCACCTTGAGCATGCTTCAGGATTTTTTTTTTTAAACCACGGAACTTGAATACATGAGGGAACCAGAACTCACAAAGTCCTATGCAACCTCAGACAGGAGGAGGTTAGAGAGTCTGTCCTTATGGATGTTTTCAGAGACCCTGGAGAAATCTGTTCCAGACTGTATTACTTAATGTCAGCACTACCAGCGCTTTGCCAAAACTCAGTACGTGAGAGGGACCTGTTTCTAGAGTGTGTCCCAGTTACATTAAAGGACAACTTCCACTAATTCCCCAATACATCTGAGTAATTCCCCCAATACAGCCCTCTTCAAGCTGGGTGTCATTTCCAGCTTTTGCCAGTCTGGCCCCATCAGGGTACCACGTGTGTATGAATGCAGTGTGCTGCTGTTTTGGAGTATGCTTGCTCCCTTACCCCTGTCTGGAACCCTGGTAGTCTGCTCTGATACCTAATGTCAGATGCAATGAGGACCCCACCAGAGCTCCCGGATGACTCCTCAGATCCATGTGGCTTTCTGTGAGGGGACTGAAGGCAGACTTAACACGGCCCCTTGTATCTTTCCTCTTGCCCTGCCCCCCTGGTTCCAGGTGGAGCCAGTAAGATGAGTGTATCCCTCTTGGGTGTTTTGTGTCGAGACCGGCTGAAAAGAGGAGACTCTGGTTGACCATGTTGTGACATGTTGACAGACTCGAGGACACAACCACCTCAGCCTGGTCATGTGGCATGCCTGTGGATGTGTGTAACAGGATTCTGATTGTTAGATTGTAATGTTATTCCTCTATGGGAGAAAAAGTTAATATAAAGAAAAACAAATAAAAATCTATTTAAAGCACATATGCTTTCTTCCTGAGTAGAGCTAAAGTTGGAGAAGCCCTTTGCAACCTCTAACACAGTATTGACATATAGTGTGTTATTGTAAGGCTGGGTTTGGTTCTGGTTGTGTGTGTCACACAGGGAAGGAAGAGGGTAGATGAGATTGCTGGTGACAGAGCCAGACAATATGGTGTGACTCAGAAATAACTACTTTTAGAGAATCCTTATAATGCAAGACACGTTTTAAAAAATGAGAATAAGAACATGAGAATCACCAATTCATTCTTTGGGTCTCAGGCACTGGGATATGGAGCTACTGAAGGGGAAGGGATGGAGTATATGTCTGGCTATAGGAGACATAGCAGAAGGTTGGGGCCCAGACCAAGATAAAGACAAGACCTCAAGCATTGATGTCCCCTGAATGTTGATGGTAGGAGAGGGGCAGAAGGAGCTGGTTTAGAGACCACAATTTTTAATGTAAGGACAGAGCCAGGAAAGGGAGAAACCTAGGCCTGTTCATAAGTCACCCCAAGCCATGGTGATGCCAATCAGAAACAGAGTAGCCAAAGAGTGGAACACAGTGGGTGTCTCTGAAGTATATAATGCAAAATGACCACTTTTATTTGGGAGCTGCTCCATCTAACCACAGATATGGACTGAAGTTAGAAACCTGACCTAAACTGGGCTAGATTCTTGATGCTGTTACAAAAAATCTTGCTGGTCGGTCTGGGCTTCTCTCTTGAATGGAGGAAGTGTATACATGCTTGTTTTGGAGCAATCATGTGCATGGAGAAGCAGATGAAAGAGGTAGAGAAAAGTACCGTCTGATTTGCTGATTGCTTCTCATTTCTAGATGGTCCTGGGTGACTTTGATCCTAAGTTGATTCTGTTATTTTCAACCAAAAGAAATCTGACCAATATCAAAGTGCCTGCTACAGTGCTAAAAAGAGCTAATTTTCCAAAGCCAAGGAATGAGCTGAGTGCACAATTATGTTCATTTTCCAAAACTTCCCAGGTGGGCATCTCAAGTGCAACGAGGACAAGATGGAATTCTAATTCACAAAGAAGGCTGTTCCTATTCACTTATGTCCAAAGAAATAGTCTGCTTACCCAATAATCCCTTACCAATAACATACGTTTATGTTCTAGGACAAAAGACATTTATTTAACACATTCAGTATTTCACATTGTACAAACCCTTAGATTCTCTTTATTCACTGGTCCATTTCTACAACAAATACATCCAAAACACTATATAATAAAATTATTTACAACATTTCCAAATGAGAAGATTTCCTGTTGCCCTACTACTGCTATCCACACACAGTACTTCCACAGCACAATACATCATTAGAGATCTAAAAATGCTCACCCTGTACTCTAGGCTGCTTAGGAAATGTGAAAACTAATAACATAATCGCGTTAGCTCCTCTCAATACACGGCAACATTTTAGAAACCTTGAACTTCATCTTGCAACACCAAAATGGTTCAACAACTGCTTTCCCCATTGCACTTTACGAAACAGGCTGCAGGGACTAGGAAAAGGACCACGTTATTAAAATAACTAACTGTACAGAAATGGATTTTTAAAAAGTCACAGCTCAAAATTGCTTTTTGTAAAATTCACACACATTTACAAATATCAAGTCGTCGTCCAGCTTGTTTACTTGGATTTTCTTCGCTTGGATTGCACCGCACTGGTTACGTCTGTGGGGAGAAAGGAAGGACATGTTCAGCTGAGGCAACTTTTTACTGCAGTGACTTTCAGGCAGTCCACAAGAACCAGAGCTGACCTAAGAGGAGGCCTACTGGACTCTGAGTCAGTCTACAGGCCTCAAAAGGCCCGCTTAGTGTGAAGAGGGTCTCAGGCTTCTCGGCCTGATAAGACTAGGGCCTGGCTGGCAATTGGGGAAATGTTATACAGGTAATAGGAGGTGAAGCAAACATACATGGAAAAAGTGCTAAGGTGGGGACAGCCTCTTTAGCGGGGCAATTAACCCCACCATCTCCATCACATGTTTCCATCACTCAGCAAAAGGATGGATAGACTGACAATACTTTCAGTCAGAAACCAATGAGTGATGCTAGAAGCAAGTGAATATATTGTGCCAGAGTGCAAAACAAAACAAAACAGCCTCTGGATCCCTTCTGGGGCCAAGCCATTTTTTTGCACTGAAGAACTCTTAGCCATGCCATAGTCAAGTCTCTAAATAACATGAGCATGACCTTGGTCAGCAAGTGTCTACTATGGCCTAACAGCAATTCGGACCACGCCACAGCCTGCTCTAAGTCCAGGTGAGCCTGAAGGCTTCATGGAAGAGGTAGGAACTGAGAGGTTTATAACGCTGACAGGGTAACACTGACATAAAACGGAGGGAAGGAGTGTGTTTTAAGTCCTTTAGTATTATGTCTTCAACCAACCAACTTAATCTTCTCCCATATTTAAACCATCTTTCTCAAAAACTTTTCAACATAAGTCTTCTACTGCAAACAGTGAATAGCCTAAAGCTCCCCAACTGTAAACATTTCTTTAAAATCTCTTATTAATATTAAAAATTCACCCTCATTCTTCATGCTGCTCCATAATAGATATTTTTGATTTAAAATGAAAAAATATTTTTACTTCCCAATAAGGACAAAAAAAGTACTATTGTTAACATAAATGTGTCAGATGAATCCAACTTACCCCTTTCTAGAAACTAGGCTGAATTTTCTGATGTTGCACATTATTAGGTTCAGTATTCTAAGCAATTTTTATTTTTTTTTGTATTATATCAAATTTTGAGAATCCAGACTTAAAATGTAGATGAAAAAAGCAGAAATTTCACTAAGTAAAATTTTAGCTAAGTAACTGCTAAGAAGTGAAACCTAGATGATTTTCTAAAAGGTGGCCCGTGTGGTGACTTCAGGCTTCTATTGGTAGAAGTTTCAATACATCTTGCTTCCTGCGGGGAGATCGTGATGCTTGTGCCAGGTGGTAGAATTACTTTCCCTCATTTACTCATTAGTCTTTTGCTAATTGGAAGATAGTAAATCTGATATAATGTTGATAATGGTGTTATTTTAATTCCATGTAAATAAACCGAGTCCCACATAGCACACAACTCCCCATGATCAATCAACTCTTTACATCCACCTCTCAACCTTCACTTTCATTTGTAGATTTGTCATTTGCAGTGAAAAGATACAGGGTTTTGTCTTGACTTAAATGTTCATCCTTAGAAAAATATCTTGTTACTTAGGTCAACTTTGGGAGCTTCTCCTTTGTTATGATATGAATGATGAAGTGGTGTGTCTAAGCAACACATGTGGCTGGGAAGCATGGTTAGCAGTGGGGGAATAAACAACCTTAGGCTTCCCCCTCCATTCCCTCCTTGCTTGTTCCCATCTGTCAGTGCTCCAAAGCACCCAGGGATCTGGCAGGCTGCCTCTGCTTCTGAGGATGAATCAATGAGTGGGGCCATGAGTAAACAAGCTATCTATCCTAGAAACTGCAAAAAAAAAAAAAAAAAAAAAAGTCTTTTAGATACTAGGGTGAGAGGTGGCAGTGGTGATGTAGGGTGTACGTTTACACTTCCATGAAAAAGAAAACCTGATCTTGAAGTCTCCATCACCTTCTCCGGATAAATCCAGCCAATCTGGTCACAGAGCAAAGTTATGTTTGATGTTTCTATAAACTTGGAAAGTTATTTTTATGGTTCAATTTTATACTCCCTCTAAAATATTACCACCTTTACCATTCCGTTGTACACAATAAGAAAATCTAGAAGCTAAGTTTTTAAGGTAAGGAATTCTGGGGAAGTAATGTAGGTGAAGGTATATTCAGGATGTATTTAATATGTAAGGCCTGCTCCTTATGGCCACCTAGCTTATCTGATTATGCATAATCCTACCCTAAGCCCCTACTATAAACACCATATTGAAAAAAAAATTACATACATTATTGAAAAACTCAGGTTTTCTTTTCTTTTAAGCATCAAAGATCTTTTTGTTTTTGGCTGCACTGCGCTGCTTGCCAGGATCTTAGTTCCTCAACCAAGTATTAAACTCGGGCCATGGCAGTGAAAGCCCAGAATCCTAACCACTAAGCCACCAGGGGACTCCCAACCTTCAAGGATTTTATAAATTAATGTCTTCACAGATATAAAAATAGTCCAAAGACTAACAGTATAATTACTTCACTGATATTCATATTTTACAATCAATTATATAATAAAAGTGAGGGTCAGTAACAGTCTTTCAGGTGGTATCTATGTATGTCCTTGGGAAACATTTAATTTGTAATTTGAAAGGGCATTTTTAAAGCATTTTTAAAGTAATTTTTAAATGACTGCCTCATTTTTTGACCTTAAGCAAATTTGGCCAAATCTATATAGTTCAAGGTTCTATTAAATCTTCTAGTATGTGAGCTTTACCTTCTAAGGAGTTTTATAAATTAACCTTGACCTTGCTCACTTCATTACGCTTTTTACTATTCTTCTTCTAGCCAAGATTTCCACTTAATTGTAAAAAAATTCTGGAAGTTTCCTTTCAAAATTTGTATGGCTTGTTTCTAAATGACTACAAGAGTGCAGTTACTGTTCAGGGTTTTCCTTGGTCTTCCACATTGCATGCAGATTCTTTACCAGCTAAGGTACCAGGGAAGCCCTTTCCTTCCATAAGATGTATCTAATTATCCTATAATAACAACACCTACATTTTAAATGTATCTGTATCAGTTCACTCGGTCTTGTCCAACTCTTTGTGACCACCTGAGCCACTCATTCCAGTGTATCTGTATACTCTGTGCTTTTTAGATTGCTGCTTTTCAAGTCACTAGCTGGGGACAGGACAGAGTTATCACCCCACTTTGCTGTCAGAGGCATCTAAGGGCACACGAGGGACACCCACAGCTACTGCTGATTACAACTTGCTCTAAACTTCCCTCTTATTAGGATATTTTTCCAGGTTTCAAACTAGTACAACAAACTTCATCTTTTTAACTACTGATCCTTTTTCCCAGTTGAAAATATAACACAAAGCTACTATAGACATAAGACTAAATAAAGAATGACAGGGGAAACTAGAGAAATCATTTTTGTGTGAATGGAGAATTCATCATGTCAGGAAGCAGAACTACTCATTTGCGTATCTGTAAACACATCTGATCAAGTGCAATTTTAAAAAGTTCACTGATTGGTGGGAGCCAATTTCCGTTGTCTGTAATGAGAAGTGGCAGGATGGGGACTCCCCTGGAGGTCAGGTGGCTAACAACCTGCACTCTGGCACAGGGGGGAGGGGTTCACTCCCTGGTCAGGTAACTAAGATTCCACATGGCATGAGGTGTGGCCAGACAAACAAAAGTGGCAGGGTGCTGGGGGGAACCCAACCAACCAAAATCAGACAACAGATTGGAGAGAGTGACCCATCAACCATGAGGGCCTCCCTGGACTTGCTCAGAAATCATCCATCCCACCGGCTCCAATCTGGTAGTCCGATGGGCCTTGGTTAGCATGAGGTAAGCAAACTCTGTTCTCAAAGCAGAAGCATGATGAAGGTTACTGGTTTTTCAATAATACAGAAAGTACCAATACTTCTCATTATAAACTGCTCATAATATTTCTCAGCTTTCAAAATTCTCATGAAAAAACACAGACCGTTTCTGATTTTGTTTGGGCATATATGACCAAAATCTTAAAGAGTACAAAAAGGCAAAACCCTCTCTTCCTTTCAAAACTTGAAGAAGTACTGATGTTGCAGGAAGATGTTTCAGGTACTCAGCACTATATATGTCTACAAGTTTGGGACACATACAGCTTAGAAGCCAGCTTGGTATTTTATGACACTGGTTCATTTTTGGATACAACATAGAAGGCCAAATAATATGCATATTAATTCTTTAATTTGGATCCAAGAGCTCTAACACTTAAAAATCAAGAGCTATAGCATTCATTTCTGATTTTAAAAAGTAACTTGCCCTAGAAGAGTTAAGGATAGATAGCCTGAGGGCTTAAAGCTGATGTGGAGATCTAGACATGATTGTGATTCCTGGGGTCTGGCCAGAACCCTGCCATCCTCTCAGGAGATACTCATGCAGCATTGCTCCATGTAATATCACAAAGCCTGTGAGTCATTATGACCTCTTCTAAGCCAGTTGCTAAGCCTCAAAGCATGGATGGGACAGGCATTCCAACATGACTACCATCACCTTGGGACAATGTTCAGTTTAAGTGTACAGGCCTGTACACCCCAACCCACTTCTAAAACAGGCTCCAGCTTTCCATCTTTTCTTGGCTAGCAGTTACCAACAGAGTGGCTCTAATTTGGGCATCTCTTAACTGTCCCAGCTGCCAGATTAGTTCTTTCTGGTGCACTGTAAATGACATCTTTAGTATCCTGAGGCTCTGGGCTCAGTCCAGATTTCCAAAAATCTGGTTGTGTGACATCTCTAAAGGTCAACACTTATTTTCCTGCTTTAAAGATAGCTACATACCATATTCTACATCCTGGAAGACCCTAATCCTTTGGGAAAATACACAGAATTGAGGGGAAGCAGATTTCCTCACAGAACTCCAGCAATCTTCCACATTATGCTTCCTTCCAAACAAGTTTTTGCCTAGAAGATGATTCTCAGGGAGGGAGAAGGAAGTTGTTGGTTCCACTTCTGCATCCAAAGTGGGGATACCCACAGGACCCTGACTATGGTATACATGGTATGTCTGGAGAGGAAAGAGGGCCACTCCCAACCTCTCCCCTATCTGGCAGGCTGAGGTAAGGTGATGTCTACATCTCTGCTTCGCCTGTACTTGATCTGCAGATTTGTGGCCTCTAGGAACTCTTGTGAGGCATTTGAATTCCGACCCAGAAACGTGACCCAGAAACAACTGAGCTCTCGGTCAGCGTCTGGTGTTGGGGCATCGCAATCTGCCCTGGTCTTCAGGCTGGTATCCTAATGGTGTGTGACTGTTTTGCAGCAGCCCTGCTGATATCAGGCACTTGGCCAAGATCCCAGCTCTTGTCTAACTTGAGCTACTTAAGCTCAGTACACTTCCTGAGAAGATGATACCCTCTCTCAGCTCTGGGCATTTGCACATGCTTTATCTTTTACTTGGATGATGCTTCTTTGTTCTCAGTCTCAGCTTAAACATCATTTTCTCCAGAAAGCCTACACTGACTTGACAGAAGAACAAAGCATCCCAGGTATTGTTTGGGTTGACCAAAAAATTCCTTTGGTTTTTAAGTAAAAATAAAAAACATATTTTTCATTTTCACCAACATACTCACTGTTTCGTTCCACTATCTTCCGCCTTTTTTCAGGCAACTTCAGAATTCCATCTTCCCAAAACTTTTTATTTTTTTGAGCAAAGAACTCTCCCAGGTACCTTTTACAGTCTTCCAGGGAAAGGAACTTTTTTCCATTAAGAGAATTTTGTAAAGACCAAAAGAAATAGAAATCTGAAGGTGCAATGTCTGGTGAATACAGCGGATGAGTCAGAATTTCCCAGCCAAGCTGTAACAGTTTTTGCCTGGTCATCAAAGAAACATGGGGTCTTGTGTTAACCTAATGGAAAATTATGTGTTTCTGTTAACTAATTCCAGAGACTTTTCGTCAAGTGCTGCTTTCAGTTGGTCTAACCGGGAGTCATACTTGTTGGAATTAATTGTTTGGTTTTTTTAAAAGAGCTCCTAATAGAGGACTCTCCTCCAATTCCACCATATACAACATCACTTACTTTGGATGAAGACCTGCCTTTGATGTGGTTGGTGGTGGTTCACGTCACTTGCCCTATGATCTCTTCTGTTCCACATTATTGTACAGTTTCCACTTTTCATTGCCCATCACAATTTCTTTTAAAAATGGAACACATTCATTACATTTAAATAAAAAATCATATGCAGAAATATGGTCAAGAAGGTTTCTTTTGCTTATGTGGGATCCAAACATCAAAGTGACTAACATAAACAAGCTGGTGCAAATGAATTTCAGCGCTTGATCTGGATATTTTGAGTATGTCAGCTATCTCCTGCGTGGTATAACATTGACTGTTCTCAATTAATGTCTCCATTCGATCGCTATCAATTTCAATGGGTCTAGCCAGCCATGGAGCATCATGCAGTGAGAAATCTCCAACACAAACTTGACAAACCACTTTTTACATGTTTGATCAGTCACAGTAGCTTCTCTGTACACTGCACAAATCTTTTTTTTGCACTTCAGTTGTGCTTTTACCTCTCTTGAAATAATAGCACATAGTATGTAGAAAATGTTCCCTATTTTCTTCCATCAATACTAAAATGGCTACACACAAAAAATCACCAATTTTGATACTTTTTTAAAAAATACACACTGATAATGATAGCTGTCACAATACAAGAAAATTGTTTTAAATGAAGTTAAAAACAACCAAGCACTACTAGAGTTTTCTTATGGGAAAAAACAAACTTTTTGGCCAACTCAATAAATACCTCTACAGTACTATATAACGTTGCTATCATAAAAGCATCATAGCAAAATCTTTCTTGATAGCTTATAATCGATGTGACAAAGACTCTGTTTTTTCACCGTTACATCCCCAGAGCCTGGCATGCAGTAAAGTACTTAACATATAGTTGATAGACGGTTATTAACATAGTAATTACTGATTGGATACTTCTTGCACTTAGGCACCACATAGGCACCAGGCATACTGTGGTGAGCAAAACCAGACATTTCCTGCCCTAATAGAATATGTATACTAACCACTTACCACATAAATTGACATAAGTTACAACTGTGGTGTTACGAAGGAGAAGAGCATGGTGCTATGTATGGTTCCACATAGCAAGGACAACTGAGTTAAGATAGGCATAAAGAGTGAGAAGTTAATGAGGAAAAAAGAGGAAGAAAGACAGAATACTCCCCACAATAGGCATCACATATACCCAGGCTGTGATGAGAGGATGGCATGTCCAAGTTGCTAAGGGAAGTCAAATGAGCCGGGAGAGGTTGACGGGGGCCAGACCAGACAGGACCTGTGGTTCATGCTGACGCTTTTAGACTTTAATCCCAGTTATAATGGTAAACCATTAAAAGGTTTAAAGCTAGGGTAGCAGTGAAGATAGGGCAAAGTAGATGAACTTGAGTCATCTGAGAGAAAATCAGTAGCTTTCTGAGATTATGTGAGGGTGAAAGAGAGAGGTGTCAAGCAGGACATGCCTAACAGACAGAGAGATGGGAGCAGGGGACCAACAGCAAAGGACCTGGCATCAGGGGTGAAAAATCACATTTGTTTTCAGACATGTTGAGTTTGTGGTCCTGTTAAGAATGTATGTGCCACTGCCTAAGATCTCGAGGTCAGGACTAAAAAACAAATGTATGAGTCATCTGTGAAAGGTTGTAACTAAAGAAGGGAGGCATGAATGAGATCACCTGGGGAGAAAACATAAGTTGAAGAGAAAAGGTGACGCAGGATTAAAGTTTGAGTAGGCCAACATCTGATTTATGGGGACAGAACCTGAGAAGAAATAGTCAGAAGACCACTGTGAGTTCTGGGCCAGAGAAGCCAAGAGCAGAGTTCATTTAAAGGAGAGACAGCAGTCAACAGAGAAGAGAAAACTGATTGTGTCAGGTTCTTGAGAAGCTCAGAGAAGATGGGATCAAAGGCACAAGTGAAGGCACTGGCTTTGGACTGAAGGAGGGACAGTTACTCTATTATAGCATGAGCAAAGAAGGACACTGGTAGATTTATGTCCTGGTAGTGAGAGTTCTCTGTGTAGAGGTGAAAGTCTCTGCTGAAACAGAGGACATAAAATAGGAGCCAGAGGTTTAATAAGAGGAGAGAGAAGGAAAACAAGCTGACCACAAGCTGAAACATAAGAAACACAAAGGAACCACACTGAGGACCTGTCTGAAGTGACGGTCATGGATCCATCTGCCCTGTTATGTGCTTGCTGCTCTGGTACATACAACTGCAGACACACAATTAAATGAACTAACAAATAAAGGACCTACTAAGCAGCAGAAGTCAAAGCAACTTGAAAATGTAAGGAATACAAGCAAAGACGAAGGGCAAAGGCCGCTGATGTTATGGTAAGAACCCTGTTCTTCCATTTGACCCAGAAACAGCATCCACAGCCCACTGCTAACCTTTAGTAGAGCTGGAGGCTGAAGCAGGCCGGGAGGATCGCTTTCGATGTCCGTTTTCCACACTTTCAGAAGCCACAGCTGGTTCTTCAGTTCGTGAGTTTCTTCGGCTTGGAGTTTTGGACTTTTCAATTATCTCTTTGGGCTCACTGCTGACAGAGGGAAGCACAAAGTCCAAGGAGGTGAGGGAATCAAGTCACACAAAAAATAAAGATTAACAGTTTCATTCACAGGAGATTAAGAACTACATAATCATTCTGAGCAGTCTGGGATAATAACAGTTACACTCTAATGTTACTGACAATTTAAAAGTGAGCCCAGCTTGTTATATTAGTAAAAATAAAATAAATTTAAGCGTAATACTGGCGGGATTGTGGAAAAACAGGTAAAAGACATTAAGAACTTGGAACAAATATCAAACTTCCTCACCCATTTTACTAGGATGAGGATACTTCCCTTCAAAAGTTAATAGCACCTAAAATACAGGAAATGAATAACATACACTGACATTTACTATGAGTTAGATAGATAATTGCATATTACAAGTCACAATGGAGAATTGATAGGAGAATATATTTACAATACACTGCTGGGTATATTGATTGCTCCAATCCCCCTTTTTTAGTACATGAAGATTAAAAAATAGTAACATTCAGTATTACTGAGGGTACAGGGACAAAAACTCGTGATGGAATGTAAACTGCACAATCCAATGATTCTCAACAGGGGGCAGTTTTGCCTCTTAGGGACAGTCGGCAATATCTGGAGACATTTCTGATTGTTATGACTGAGGGATGCCACTAAATATCCTCCAATGCATAAAGCAGCACCCTCCCCCACATTCCACACAGAATTATCTGATCCAGTCAGTAACGCTGAGGCTGAGACACCCTGGTGTAATCCTCTGGCTCAGCAATTCTGTTTCTAGGTGTCTAAGGAAACAAATCTTTTTACAGAGCTCTGATTACACACAAGGATGCCAAAGCATTTTATTCATATTGATGAAGACAGAAGACCGAGAAGCTTAATAATGATAGCAGATTAGTTAACTAAATCACGGCACATCTAAGTGGAGCTATAAAAATCATGCTGTAGAAGGTTAATAATAAAAACTGTTTATAATACATTAAATAGGGGGAAAAAAAGCTATCACCACTATGAACAGTATAATCTCATTTTCATTATAACATATATTGAGTATATATGTAACACATATGAATGGGTGTGATATATTTATATGTGCATATACAACATATAGGTTTTATATATGGATATAATACTACATATTAGATGTATACAAATACTATAGTATATATTAATATATACCATCCTTGGAGAGTTTTAACTCTATCTGCACATACTTTGTGAAGAAGACTAGAAGAACTAAGATATACACAGTGAATACTGCTGAATTGTAGGAATAATGGCTAATGGATAACATTTTTCTTTGTAATTCTCTGATCTGAATTTCAACTTATCTTCAGTAAACTCTCACTACTTTCACAGTTCAAAAAAATTCATGTTAAATTCATTAGGGAAAAAAAGAACTTGATTACATTTACTTATAAGACAAGGAACTTAAACAAAAGGAATGCAACAGAAACAAAACAAAAAACCAGCCAAAGGGATGCCTCTTCTGGGAAGTCTTCCATGACCTCATTCCCCAAGAGGAGTTGCCCTTCTGATTCTGGGTTCAGAGTCTCTGTCTGGCATCCTAGAGCGCCCACCGGGGTGTACGGCATGTTTTTAGTGTCTTGTGTCTTCCACTACAATGTAAGCTTCTTAATTGGGCCTGTCAACTACCCATAGCCCTCCACTGCTTACTCCCGCCAGAGGACCCTTTGCCTGGCAATCCAGCCACAGAGTTCACTATTCTAGCTTTACTTTTAATAACTGCCCGGCAAGCCAAGGCAAGTCAAACAGGAGGCTGGGCTAGCACTGCAAGTCAGGGGGATTTACATATCCTTTTAGAAATGATGTGTAAGGATAGCTTTCTGACTAGGAGTCCAGAAAAGGGTCAAAGCCTCTAAAGAAGAAGATTCCTAATGGAGGTGCTTCTTTCTCCTGGTAAAACAAAAGCCTCAGTAATACTGTCCTGGTGTTTATAGGGTCAATGGTCAGGTGACTTGGAGAAAACACCTATAAGGTATCTTTGGTCTGATTATCTCTTCCTTAGCCATACAGTTGGTGTATACTTTGAAAAATGCAAATGAATTCAAACATAAGCCCAATCCAAATGAAACTAGACAGGCAGAGTGGTGCTGTAGGAATAGCAATGAATCTGGAGTCAGAAGAACAGGGCTTGAGTCTTACCTATGCATTTACTGGCCATGATATTTAGCTTTATGCTTCAGATTCTTGATCTATAAATTCCCATCTTGTCTGCTGCAATATATTAAGTGTGAGAGCTCTGCAGTCAGAAGGCCTGAGTTTGAATCTCAGCTTCACCATTTACTAAACCTGTGGTTCTGGGTGATTTAGTTAACCTCTCTGAACTTTAGGTTCCTTATATGTAAGATAGAATTTCCTTTCCTAATAGATACTGTGAAAATTAAATGTGATAATACATCTAGGGAGCTTTTAGCCCAGCATATGACATGGTATATACAGCATTCAAATAAATGTTGGCTATTATTACCACCTCACAGGGTAGCTATGATGATTAAATGAGAAAATGACTGTGAAGCTGTTTTACAATCTAAGTTGATACAGAGTATGACAAATTCTTTAAAATGTTGTCTAGTATATTCCTACACTAAAAAAGGAATGACTTTTTTAAATACAATAATATTCCTCTCCATGGGGCTAGTTGTATTCCTCTCCATGAAGCCACAGTTGTATTTCATCTTGTTAAGTTATATAGGACAGCACAGCATAAAAGAAAAAGCATGAGTTTTGTGGTCAGACCCCATCTGCCTTTCTCTCACTTGAGGATCAAATAGCTACACTTAGAAGGTATTGCAAGGAATACTATTAATGACCAATGACAGCAACAATTCCTATATACTGATCACTTACTATTTATTCACTATGCTGAGTGCTGAAAAATGTTATGATTCAGTTTCAAAACAACCACAAAAGGCAGAAACCTGGCCACCAAGTTTTATTCAAAGAAATTTTACCTCTGAGAGGTTGATACTCATGACAGCTCCCTACTTCAGCAGGAAAAAAACTGGTACAAAGAGTGAAGGAAAAAGCCAAGGTGAGGAGAGGTTGAAAGGCTGAGAAAGCTGATACCTTTCAAAGAGGTTTATGCCATATTCATGCTAAGTCTGCAGAAATGATCATCTTACCTTTGTCCAGAGCCTATGGCAGCGTTTGCCTCGAGTTCTGTTAAAAATACAAAGGACAGAAATGAGATGTAGGAGCTTCTCGTGTATACGTCCACTGGTAGAGGCTAGGTATCTGTGAGAATTCTAAATGCCCTGTTTAGGCTGCTGTGTCTCCAAGCGTGGCAGGATCCTCACCCCGATGCAGTGTAGAGACAGAGATGGCATGGATACAACTTGACTGGGGCATAAGACACTAACTCATTCTATTTTCACTTCTACTCCATACTGTGAAATAATCCTGTCTGGATCAACAGAACTAAATTCACACTGCCTGCTTCATATTTCATCTAGCTAACTAGGTTAGTAAAATAATCCTCTTTCTCTCATGTAAAAAGACTGTTTTCATTCTTAGAATATCTCTCCCCTCCTGACATATTTTTAAATCAGTAATCTTCAAATATGTCTTAAATATCCATTAAAGATGTATTCTTCTCCAAAGGATTTCCCCACTGAATTTTAGGGGGCAGACTGCTTTACTCTAAGGTATCACCTACAACCCCATTATGCCCCTCTCTTCCTCAACCTCTCAGCAATGCCCTCTAAAAATGGAAACCTTCAGTAATTTGTCTAGCTGGGTTTTGCTTAAATGAGCATCCTATGGATTTGCCAGGCCCTTCTTTCTTAGCACCAGTAGGAAAACATCCTCTTCCTCCGTTATCCACCTTTAGGTAGTCTCATCTTTTCCAAAAGACCTGGTGCACCATCCCTGGTGCACCTGGTCCCCAACAGTCCTTTGGTCTCCAATAGTCCTTTCCCCATCCCCCACTTTCAGGGAATTCAGCACCTCAGACTCAGTGTACATGTCTAACCTACCCTACTTATTACAGAGTAACCTCCTTGAAAGCAATGAAGTCAGAGTGCCTTGGTTATTTTGACCTCACTGCCTGTTAGCCATGAGACCTTGGGCAAACTTTTTGACCTCTCTGTCCTCAATGCTTCACCTGAAAAAACAGGGATAACCACTTTACCGACTTGAAAGTTAAAAAGATCCATCTTGTGGAGAAAAAAGGTGGTTCAGGAGATGGAATTCTCTTCCCATTTCTCACCAAAAATGAGTTTATCTATCTAACTTGCTCCATTTCTATCCTTCTCAGGTATCATGTGGGTAGTTGGGAGCAAAAAAATCTCGGTGGTTAAAATGTTTTTTTCCTCAACCACTTTTTCCAGAGGTCTGGTTTTACCCAAAGAGTGTACAATAGAAAGTCCTATCCATCATATAGGACATAGCACCCTGAGGCAGGTTTTAAAATGATCACAACTTTTACCTTACATAAAAAAAAACTTAGTTTATTCATTTATTTATTTGACTATCTTGTGTGGCTTGTGGCATTTTAGTTCCCTGACGAGGGACTGAACTGGGCTCTCGGCAGTGACAGTGTGGAGTCCTAACCACTGGACTACCAGGGAATTCCTAATTTTTACCTTACTTTTACTAACTCAGACTCAAAATTAAACATTAAAAAAAAATTCTGTCAAGTGTATGAACTGTATTGTCATACAATAACCTCCTTGTGGAAAGTAGTCATACTTTTTTGGGGGGCATACCTACAATAACCTATAATGCAAAGAGCCAGGCAGGACTAAACTGTAACAAATCTATGCTCTTAATCTGCTCTGGCACTCTAATCTATGAAGGCAGTGTGCTATTATTGCCATCAAGATCCTCATGCATTCAGAGCTGACCCAGCATCTCATAGTAGTTATCTGTCAGATTACCATGGACTCCACCTTCCAGAAACACCATCCGTAGTGCTATTTACAATATCTTGGTCATGGGAAGAAACTTAATGCCGTCCAGAGATGACTGAAATGACTCTGACTCTGGAGGAGTGGCTACCTCACTGCAGCCTAGGTTTTTGGAACAAGGCTCCACTCCTGTTATCATAGTGCAATTACTATCTTAATGCAATAATGCCTGCCATCCTAGTGAGTTACCATGTGCCAGTCAGTCAGGGGCCAGGTACGGGCACAGGGTCATGGAACAGGGCAAACTGTGCAATGGAAACCACCCACAGCGGGGTGGCAGACAGACAATGGGCACTGAGATGCCCTTCTTGAGTTCCCTGGCTGACACCAGGAATGCGTCAGAGAGCAAGTTGCTCAAGGGAAAATAACCTCAGATAGTACTGCATAAGCTGCCACTCAACCAAAGTCTGCCCTCAAGCAAGTAAGATAGTTTCAGCCATTTCCTGGCACTCTGAGAACAGCAGTGGTTCCTTCACATGCAACCAATTCCACTCGAGAAATGTTCCCAAGATGGGCCTTACCTGGTCTGGGAGCAGACCCCTGCAGTGCTGTGGCTGGAGTTTCCTTTGGGACTAAACTCTGTGAAGGAGCTAAGGCAAGAAGTAAAAAAAAAAAAAAAGAAAGAAAGAAAGAAAGAAACAGGTCTTTAACTTTCTTTCTTTTCTGAACAAAGTAGAAAGCACTGAATCAAGAGCTAAGTAACTGCTGAAATACATATACTCTTAGAAAGCAGTACTTGAAGTTAACTTTGAAAGTACAGTACATTTCAAAACTGACTTTAAAAATCATTACTTTAACACTCAGTAACAAAGATTGCCGTGAGGAGAGTCTGTTTTTCCTTTTTGTATGTACAAAGATCAAGGAAGGATATGGCCATAAGATAATAGCACTCATAATTTTTGCTTCTTGGGGTCAAGTTCTGTCCAGTATTCTAAAAAACCCCAAAGCGTACTTCGGCAGGCAACCCTAACCTCTTTCAGAGGGACAATTATACCATCCAACCTTAGCACTGAAAAAACTGCTTCAATCCTCTAAAGACTACATTCCTTGAGAACTGAAATGAATCATATAATTTATCTTGTACTTTTCTACAGCACCTGGCAAGTATGATGGGCATAAAGCAGGTATTCAATTCATATTTAATGAAGCAAATCAATTTGATGTTATCTACTTATCTAACAAACAGTTACCAAGAACTTTCTAGGGGCAAGGCTCTGTGCTAGGCACCCTTAGAGACCAAATTACATTCTTCTTGCCCATCAGAAACTCAGTCTAATATTAAAGAAATATATACAACTGGCACTCGGGAGTGAACTGTGATGTTAAAATGAAGCAGATTCATAAAGTACAAAGTGCTATGGGAGTCCAAAGCAAGGGAGATCAATTCTAAACTGAGAAATCTGAAGGTAGCCTAGAGGCAGCAACATCAGAATTAGGCTTTGAAGGACAAAGAGAACTTGGGCCCCTGAAGAGGAGTGGAACAGAATACACAATGTACTCTAGAACGGAAACGAGATGGATCATACAGTAAAGATTGAGGGCATAGATATGCCACAGTCACTCAAGGTTAAGTCCTCCCACCTTGATACTCAAACATCTTAGATAAACTCTACAACACTGTTTTATCTTCTTGTGCAAATGTGACTCTTGCAGATTTCTCTCTCTGCTTAGTCAATGATGCATTTGTGTTAAGAATTTATTTTGGATGCTTATATAATACAGCTTAAAACTATAACTTTTATTTTTTACTCCAGTATTGGTTTCTCACACTTTTAAGATAAAATCACAAAAGGCCTTTGAAAAAGAATGGAAATCATCTTATCTAAATTTGAGAAGTTCCTCTCCAACTACTGGTTCATCTCCCTAACACTCATGTATTTCTCTAGGATTATATAGGACCCTGAAAAAATATTTTCTAAATCATTATTCTCTTGGTACCAGAGGGGAAAGTTACCTGAAAGGAAGTAGAATGGAAACATTTAATAGTGGAAAACATGTTTATGTCACATATTTTTAATTCTTTTAAAAATTTTAGAAGGTTTGAAAAATTCTTAGGGCTCACCTACACCAACAGAACTAGAACCAGAAATCTATTAATATAGTATCCAGCCCTATGAAGTCTTTCTCCTCCAAGGACAGAGAACTCCTTAAAGGCCTTTATCCCTCCCTGCATCTCTGGTATTGAAGTGAACAGGTAGAGAGAAGGAGAATTAGCCTTTCTTGGGCTCTGTGGGAGGCAGCATGCTGGCCTGTATGCTAAGCCCCTCAATGAATCTTCGTATCAATTCTGGGAGGTAGGAATTATCTACACAATCTCAGTTTACAGGTGAAGTCCATAGCTTATAAGAGGTTAAGGGATTTATCCAACCATGACTGGTATCAATGGAGCTAGAACTTGAACTATGATCCTGTCCTGAAGCTTGTGTTCTTTCTGCCCCTCCTCCAGCCCCTCCAAGCATTTTAGCCACATAAACAAGACAGGTGCTCTTGGTTGGCCTAGAATATAGCAAAGGTCCTTTGAGCTTTGGCAGTTTTTGACTGATTCCACTGTGGGGAACAGAGCTCTGTACCACTTAACCTCACAGGAGGAGGAACATTATGTGTGTGTGTAGAGGTGGGGAGGTGGCGTGGAGTGGTGGTGAGAGGGATGCCAAGAGAAGGAAGGGAAATGTAAGGACACCTATGTTTCCTATGAAGTAGCCCACCTTACCAGTACATAGGAAATAATCTGAACTAGAAATACATCAATGTGATGGTCCAATTTTCAAAGAGACTGCGTCAAAAAGAAACTGGTAATAAGAATACTTACTATTGAATGATTACTATATTCTAGCCCTGTAACATGCTAATCATGTTACATACAGTATCTCATTGAATTCTTACAATTACTACTGTCCCTATATGACAAAGGAGGAAACTCAAGTCTGGAGTAAAGTAACCTGCCTAAGACCAAACAGCTGGTAAATGTTGGTTGGCACTGTGATACCTCCTTCCATTCTATTACCATGAAACCTGGTTTTCTGGAAAGCTCTCCCCTAGCCAGTCAGAAGGAAAGAATCCCTGGGAGAGAGTACAATGAGGAAGGGGTTATGAGAAACCTGCTCTGAACAGTTGAAAGCAAGTCTTTACCACCGTAAGAACCTGAAGGAGCTGCGGTTCACCCTTAAGAGACAAGGTTAAATTGGACGCTCACACACAGACTTTGAACAACTGAACTCAGAGCTTCCCACCTGTAGGACAAGATTAGGGTTACCTGACAAGGTTGGTATGAAGATGAGGTAACATATGTAAAAATGCTTCTTTGTAAAATGAAAAATTTTATAAAAATATAAGGTATACCATTATTCCAGGAGTTGAGAGAGAACCATATTAATAATGTAAACAACACGGGAATTTAAATAGGAAGTATATTTCCCAATGTACTTCAAATAAATGAAACTACCACTATAGCCATTTAGCCCACTCTTCTTCCTCCAAGTAGAAAAGAAGCCATGCTTTCTCTGGTGGGATAGGTCATCAAAAATTGACACGAGATGATGCCAGGTATCAAGTACATACCTATGCTGGGCAGAAGCTCTGGATGAGATCCCACCTTCTCCTCCACTAGGCCACCTGCAAGTGGCTCAGATGCTATGCCAACATGATTGCTTTTTGTGGTCGGCGCCGCGGAGATGAGTTCAGAGGGTACCAGAGCGGTTACTATTGAGCGTACATTGGTGGGGAGTGTACTGCCAGGTAAGCTGGGTCCTGCTGAGGCGGAGCCCGGGCCCACAGGGCTAGAGGTCATTTTGAGCAGAGTGGGCGCGGGGGGAGTTGGGGTTTTACTGTCCAGCTCCGTGCATAACTGCTCCGTTCCCAAGAGCCCTGGAGCTGGGGTCTCTAGCCCCTGGCCTTCAGTCTCTCCATCGGCACCATACTGCTCTTCCCCTTTCTCGAGGGAGCCTGTAACTTTTTTACATGCCTTGGTCAGCAAAATCTGGCCGATTTTGTCCACTTTACCTTTGCCCTTACTAGATGAGACTGGGCTTCGCCGGTTGACAGAGGATCCTGGACTATTGGTCAAAAGGGGAGAAACCACCGTGGCTGTCTGTGAAGAAGGCAGAGTGCTTTGATCTGCTGAGGTGCTCACCTGAGGGCTAGTCTCATCTGGATTCAGTTCTTTGACTTGCTGGACAGGGGGGTGAGGAGGAACAACTGGAGAAGTTGTGCAAGGCGGGGAAGGAAGCTGAACAGGGGCGGCTCGTGAGTTAAGGACCAAGGGTCGGCCTGTCTGAATGTTTGCAGCAGGGCTACTGGTGGGGGCATTAGGCAGCACAGGAGCAGAAGAAAACTTTATATTCTGAGGTATGTGTAAAGGGCCAACGACTGCAACAGAGGGAGGCATCAAGCCAGAGTTGGTTGTCAGTGGGGCTGCAGGAATTGTGCTTGGCTGTGATCCTTTCATAACCTGAATTATTGAGGATGAATTGATAAAGACAGGCGTAATGAACTGAGGCCGGGCATTTGACTGAGCAGCTGACTGTCCCTCAGAAACCATAACCTTGTTACCCACATTGGGCATTGTGACAACTGTTGACATTAATGCAGACTGCAGGTGAGTTGGCAGAGCTGCTGATGTGTTCGCTGAAGTCGTGATGGGATTGGAAGTCACAAAAACAGTTATCTGATTTGGGGGCAAAGGAGTGGAAATGGAGGAAGAGCTGACCGGTCTTGACATTACCTGAGGGATGCTCGGGGTGACATTAGAACTGACCTCACTCAATTCTGGATGCACAAGGGTTGAACACGGCTCGTTACTGTGAGGTAAATTTAGGGAACTGGAGGGTTCTTTAGAAGACGGATCCTGCAGGGAGGGAATGACAGATGCTTTTTTCGGGTCCTCTCCAGACACTCCTGGAGGTGTTACTTCCAGATCTGTAAGCCCGGGGGGTTTAATGGTCACATTAGGAGCTCCAGAGTTGTCAAGTAGTTGACTTAGCGATGTTGGTGCTTCCCTCATTGCAGGAGACACCAAATTTTTGTTCTCTTCAACACTGGGAGGTTTGTTAGGATCCAAAGGCTGCCCATCCTTTTTGGATTGATCTTCAGGGACAACCATTTTCACTTCTTGGGGAGGGACTGCTTTTAGCTCAATGTTTGCCTGCTCCTTCCTAACCTGGGAATTTTGGCAATCACTGTCCTGTGGCATATTCAAGCTCTCCTTGTTATCCTCCAGAACACCCCCTATTGTGGCCACAGGCATGGTAGGATTCTGAGGATTCAGCCCACTGTTGTTAGGGAAGCTCCCAGGTACAGGCGGATTGGGCAAAGGAGTAGGACTAACCAATACATTTCTTGGCAACTCTACATTTTGCAACAATGTTGCATTTGTTTGAGAGGCAAGTGTAAGTTTAGGGGCTTTTGAATTCTGTCTCCCAGGACTTGGGGTGGTTTTCCTACTTGACCCAGGACTAGACCTGCGGCTGTTGCTTGGACTTGCCCGTTTTGGTGCTCCAGAATTAGACTGCTTTCCAGAATTCACCACCACAGAATCTAATTTGTGAGTCTGTGGCGCAGCAAAATTGGAAGGATTATTCATGGTAAGGTTTGAAGGCGCTTGCCCGATAGCCTTCAAAGTTGTCGGATTTAGGCCCTGTTGATCAAAGCCCCTGTTTAAATTTGGCCTGGGAGGTAAAGGAATATTAATCTGTGGGGGGAAGAGTCCTGCTATGGAGGCATTGAGTCTTTCTGGTGACAGACTGATTTCTGAAGGTTCCGTGCTGGGAGGGCGGTTGTTGGGTGTCTGAGGATAATAGGGTCTGGGGCTGGCTCTGTTGGGTGTTTTAGGCCTAGACGTTTGGGTGGGAGCAGCCACATTTGGAAAGTGGTGTCCATGAGAGCTGGGCAGGGAATTTACAGGAGGTTGCTGGGGAGTTGCACCTTGAGTTGCTGAAAGTGGTGATGGTCCAGGTTTTGGCCCTGTCATCATTAACTGATTCTGGGAGACCACTAAATGTGAAGGCATGTTATTTGGGCCTCCTGAGACAGATGGTCCTTCACTGCCACTTGCTTCTGGGAGCGAGGACATCTCCCCCAGTGGTGAGCTGGCAGGGTTCTGGGGGTTCTCCTGGTACATCATTTTCCTTGAAGCACTTCCCAGAGGAGTATTCACAGGCATTGGCAGTCTTTGCTTGTCAGGTGACGGCGGCACCGAGGCAGGGCCTTGCAGACTGACCATAACAGGCACGCTGCCACTCGGCTGCATGGGCATTCTCTGGGAGTCTGGGTTCAGTGGGCCCCTGGGCGGGTGGACATTCTGGGAGACCGGAAGCCTAACGGATTTGGGGTCCTGCTGCATCATGAGCATCATCATCATTTGTTGCTGCTGCTGCTGCTGCTGCTGCTGCTGCTGCTGAGACTGTGGCTGACTGGGAGGTGGCTGCGGCTGCTGCGGTGGCGGCTGTGCTGGGGGTGCCACATGCTGCACGAGCTGAGGAGGCAGCTGCTGAAGTGGCCTCTGTTCAACTGGTTGAGAAGGATAACCTAAAACGAGCCCCCAAAATCAGGGAAGTTAGATTTTCAGCAAGAAAAGCTTTGCGACCTTTAGGGTATGGCCAAGCAATACTCATCTAGGTGGCACAAACAGCTCAGGCATGCCCGTTCCCAGGGCGGGTAAGGGGCGGCCCCTCCTTCTCTGGCGTAAGCAAAGAGGCAGGCTGCTTCAGGAAGCAAAAAGCAAAGCATCGAGAACCTGGAGCTCCTCAGTCTTCAGCGTTTGCATGAGGCATCACTGTACTAGGACTAACAGGCACTGTGCTGTGCACTGAAACTGGCCAAGTCTATGCCAGCCTCACATTCAGATGAAATGAGGACAACTCCATCAACAGCACACAGATGACCACCCAGTACTGGGCTCTCATGCAGGCATAGTAAACATTTCACTGGATTTGTGAATGAAGCATTTAAGATACACTTTTTTTCTTTTAGCACAGATTAATTTTTTTAAAGACTTGGTTTCGTTGAAAACACCAGCATCGAAGATAGCCTTTTTATTCTTTCAACAGAAGTAAAATATAAAGTTCTAGGGTTCAATTCCTTAAGAAAAAAGGATTTAAAATCACTCCAATCCATTGGCTTCACACACCACGCTGCACCCTCCAGGCTCACTTCTTTGGGAAACCCAGCGAATTAAACTGTCCCTCCAATGTAAGTCAGTTTAATAAATAGTAGGAGCTAAATAGAAGCTGATACACACACTGAAAATAAAATGAGGGCACTGAAGTTCTTTTTACAAATGTTAATTTACATGTACTTTTTTACATGTCAAACTGTATTTGGAGAAATACTGTCTTTGAATCCATAAGTGGAAAATAAGTGAGCAAGAAGCATAGCCCTCAGGAATAAAAAATACTTTTGGGAAAAGAATTCTGAGGACAATGCCTTATAGATTTCTAGAAGGCAACATCTCAAATGATTCTTTCTTTTGTGAAGATTTTATTTGGCATTTTAGAACCAAAACCTTACATAATCAGCAGAAAGGACCAAGAATAAAGGTGGTTCAGTGGGAAAAAGTGGACATATAGCTGGGATACAATTTTACAAACTAGATTTATTTCATTGTTACATGAAAAACATATTAGGAGAAGGCACAGGCATAAGGACAGCTGGCTCTGGCGGTCAAAAGAAGTGCCAGCTCCAGATTTTCACAGAGCAGCTATCAAATGCTATTGATCCATAGGTTCACACCCTGTGTTTAATAGCTAATCAATGTCTTCTGGCCAATGACAAACATGACCCCAATGAGTACAATGTTTTTTTTTTTTTTTAATTATTTACTAACTTGGCTGCGCTGGGTCTTAGTTGCGGCATGTGAGATCTAGTTACCTGACCAGTGAACAAACCTGGGCCCCCTGCACTGGGTCTAGTCTTAGCCACTGGACCACCAGGGAAGTCCCCAGAATCCACTTTTTTTTTTTTTCAGAATCCACTTTTAAAGCTGTTTTTTTTTTTTTTTTTAATCCTTTTTTGTTTTAGGCCCAACTGACTTCTTTACATTTATAATGCCAACAACATATGGCATTTCTATAGGCTTAACTCAGGTTCCCATGTGAAGAAAATTGTAATTTCTGTAGAAATTACATAGCCCGTTGATGTCAAGGCTATGACACAAATGCCTTCGTCTTTAAAATTAGGGCACCAAACAACATAAATACCAAAGAGAGCAGCATAGAGAATACAGCAGCCTCTTGAAAGTAACAGTTAAGGGCATGACTGCTATAAAGGTTTCAGAAGCTGGAGGCAGCAGTCCAAAGAGCACTAATGGTAAGAAGATAGACTGGGGCCGTGGTGACAGAATGGTGGAGAGGCACAGCCAGGACACACACAGTGCATATAACATAATCAAAAACCAAATTTATTAATCAAAAGATGAAAATTCATATGCCTTTAGGGGACAGACTGGTAAATAAGAGAAGTGGGTTGCTGTAAGACAGTAGTAGTTCTGTGGACAGAGCCAAACTGCAGAGCTGATGCTCTACCTAAAGGCATCTAAAATCAGGTTTCTGTTTGCTTTCATATTCTGCATGACAATTCAAATATATTGCAGGCCAAATTCAGCCTATAGGCTTCCAGTTGGCAAACTGAAGAAAGGAAGCAATAACGTGTGTGAGAACCTCTGGGATTTATAGAATTCAGATGAGTCTGAGGGAAGAAGGTGCCTTCCTGCTCATATCGCCTCTGGATATACCCACCAAAGACTCGTGACCTCCCAGCCTCAACTGTGCTGCTGTAATTCACCGATGGGAAATGTGGTGTGCCCAAACAATTCTCGATCAGTAACACATAGTATTGACATCATAATGAATTTATTTTTTTTATTCACTTTTAAAATACATAAATTAAGGATACTGAAGTTTATCCCTAAAATAACTTACAAAATCACTTCCACTTATATGCCAAAAAGGAGGAGGGATAATTAGAAAGGAAGGAATAAAACATAATCCTTTGTATACACATGGAAGTGTGGCCTAAATGTGATAGGTTTGTGTGTCTTCCTCATAGGGGAATAAAGTTACAAATTACTGCTGGGGCTAATTGTAACCAGGTTTGGAGACATTGTGGCAGCTGGCCTTGGTTCTATAATAGCTAGGTTAGAATGAATGAATTTTAGGAGACTTTCTCTTCCAACATTTTAGAGGATGGTATTATTTTATAATCAGAGGGGGATACAATACAGAGGGCTTCAACAATACTGGTCTTTTTTATTATTAACCGGGTAGGAAGTACATAAGTGTCTCTTTCATTACTCTTTACATATTTTTTAATGTTTAAAGATTCATAATAAAAGCTCTATTAAAAAATCTTATTTTAAACCCTGGCAGTTCTCTGCTTTGAGAAAGTCCCAGTAGAAAAGGTTGCAGGAAAGGCAGCAAGCAGGATTAGAGTGAAAGCTTCATTTCATTTAATCTTATTCCATTTTGATGCCAACTAGAACCTTGATATTGACAAGAATAAAGAGGCACTGACTAACTTTAGTTTGATTTTATGAGGACCTAAAATAACAAAGAATAATTTGAGCAAAATACACACACACACAAATATATATACATTCACATGCACATACACACACTTTCAGAGGTTATATTTGAAACTTTTTACTTACTAACAAGACAAAGTTTCCAAATACTAGACACACTAAATCACTAAAGTAGTCTAGTTAGTAGACAAAATAAAATACTATTGTTTCCTTGAAAAAAAGCCTTATAATGCTGTAAATAAATGATAACAAGTATATAAACTTTAGCTAACATTTTATCACCTGGTGGTCGGTTTGAAAATTCTGGCAGTTTAGGGCCTGAGCTGTCCAAGTTAATTCCTTGTTCTCCAGGCAATGGCTGTTGATCAGCCTCCTCCAGACCAGCTGGGCGAGTATCTGGGGTGCTAAAAAATAAATTACACGTTTGTGAGTAAGTTGTACAGTTTATACATGAAAATTGCTTAACCCCTCCCCTATGTCTGAATAAATCCATCTGCATTATCATTCTTAGAATTATTTATATCTCTCTAGTCTGATAAAACATTCAATATTTGGCATAAAAAAATCTGCCAATTTCATTAAATGTTAAAATCCACTTAATTTAATAAATGGCTATTTACTTGAGGTGCTTTCCACACATTTCTGATATAATGATTTTCATTTAATTATCCATCCAATGTTTTAACAGCTGATTTTGGGTTATCAGTATTGTACTGTTCCTAAGAAACCACACTATCTTCGGGGTAGCTATCAAACTGAACCAGGGAATCCAGACTTCTTCTTTTTTGTGAATATTGCAATGGTGGCTCCAATTCATAACATCTTGCAAGAAATTGTAGACTGGCTAATGAAATGGTATACAGAGAACAAAGAAAGCTGGAGAATACTAGAACAAAGCTAATTAATTTTGTTGCAGAATGTCTATTTAACAGACATCCCCATCAGCTTTGGGATGCTTTCATTTTCACCTAAGTGTACCTTATAATTTTATTAGAGAAGGAAAAAAATGAAGAAACACCCACATTCCCAAAGACCCAGGGCTCACAGCTCTGATTTCGTTTTTGCCCTGGTATTAGTCACCCACTTTTAGACAGTATTTTATCTCATTGTACTCTGTAGTTTCAGAAACCTTACCTTAAACCCATTTTAAAAGCTCTAGCACATGGGAATTTAGAACCTGAAGCAGGTCCTAAGCACATCTAGATTCCTGTATTGATTTGCTCCTTAAATGACTTCTCTCTTGCTTCAATTATAAGTAAGGATTCCTGTAGTATTCTTTACTTTCAAAGAATTATATTGCTAAAAAAATATCTCAGGTCCAGCCACCTCATGTTACTAGATGACAAAACAAAGGCCCACAGAGGTGTAAGAAAACAGCTGAAGATTCCATGGTAAGCTAGTGGTAGAGCTGGGAGCATGCGCTCTTCCTTTTTAACTTACTGTCTCCATTCCTAGGAGCCTTGATGTGGTATAAGGCCCTTTCCACAATCTGTAGCCGTAACAAGTAAGCAACTCCCTAAGTGCTGGTACAGATAGCAAAAATCCATACTAATGGCAACTGAAGTACCTTGCAGGGTTATTCCTAGACTACTGAGAAGAATAAATATTGTGACAGAAATGTTACTCCCATACAGATTGACAGTAAAGAATTTAACTTAAAAAGAGCTATTGGAAAAATCAGATAACCAAAGAGTTTACTAATTCTGAATTCAGGAAACATACAGGTTGCTAATATACAATTACTGAATTTTGATTTATAAGATTCAAGAAGAAAGTGAATATGATAACAGTTTTATAGTACAACCAAAGGCATATTGTGAGAAGACTGAGAGAAAGGTATTGGGTTGGCCGAAAAGTTCATCCAGTTTTTTTCCAGGTGTTATGGACAAACATGAACAAACTTTTTGGCTAATCCAATAGATGGTTTTATTTTGAACATTTATGTTTGATTAACTAAAGCTCCCCTATTTTCTTCTATAATTCTAATAATTTACTTGAATTAACCCGCTTTTATACTCCACAGTCATTATTTTCTGGTAATAAATGTCTCTGGATTTCAGTTTTGTGATTAAAGGCAGAAAATCCAGTTTAATCAATGTTCCTTTGGGAATCATCTTATCAAAGCCAAAAATATGACTTAACACTTAGATTAGGAAACGAAATATAAATTAATTGCCCTTCCCACTGTGATCTTGCAAAAGACTCACCTTTACCAAAAGGTGATTGAAAAGGTCTAATCATCTTTTAGGTTTTAAGCTGCTAAGGATGATAAAGAGCCTTTAAAAGAAAGGCATTTGCACAAAAAACCATTTCTATTTGAGAGACAGAAGGGAGTCTCCATAAGTAGTTTTCATTCCTAAAACACATATAGCCTCTCTGGTTCCCCAGCAGTCATTACAAGCCTGACATGCTTTGTAGAGTTGTAGTGTGGTAGCAATGGCTACTTCTCAGGCTCTGAATGGCACAATCCCCTCTGAGACTACAGACTTAAGAGACATATATCAATTGACTGCAATATAAGAACCCTGTTTGGCTCCTTATTTGAACAAATTGTAAAAAGAAAAAAAAAATTTTTTTGAGATAATCAGGGAAATCTGGACACTGTCTGGATATGTAAGAATATGAAGGAAGCATTAGTTTTTTCCACAATAATCATATTGTGTGGTCATAAAAAACAGAAAACAAAAGCCTGTCCTTATCTTTTAGAGGTACACACTGAAATATTTAAAGTGAACTTGCTTTAAAATAATCAAGAGGTAATGGGAAGAACATGAATGAATGCAAGACAAATTATGAGCTGAAAATCTGAAGCATGGGGAATTTCATTATACTGTTCTTATACATGCTCAAAAATTTCCATCAAAAAAAGTTGTTCACATAGAAATAAATGAATAAGATTTCAGACAAGACTATCACAACCTACTTTAGGTCCTGCTGACTATTTTTCTTCTTCCGAGGGGGCTTCTTCTTCTTCGGTTTATTTGCGTTGGTATTGTTTTGCTTATTGTTTACCCCAAAATGGCCTGCAGAGATATCACTCTGCAACAAGTTGACCAACAACGGGCTTGTCAGCGTGACATCCTTATTGACTGGGAAGCCTGGATTCTGACCACAGGACATTTGATTTCCATTGGGTGCTCCATTGAAAGGTGCATTGAAGGGCATCCCATGGCCCGAGAAGTGGTTTCCCGAGGCACTGTTCCCCTGCATGGCCTGCACGTGGGGGGGGACCATGTTGCTTTGCTGCATGCTAACATCTGGCATCATCTGAGACAAGCTGACATCATTATTTGCTGTCGTAGCAGGATCACCATGCTGCTGGGCCATGTGGGGGCTTGGCCCTGGTGGCCGCAAGACCTGCCCCTGCATCCCCATAACCTGAGATGGACTGTTGTTCACGGGCCCTTGCTGTGGCAGCATCTGTCCTGACATCGGTCCTGTAAACTGCACCATGTTTCCTTGCAAGTTTGGCGTTGGTCCCCTCATTATTTGTGCTGGTCCCGGCATGACATTAGATTGGTTCTGAGTGTTAAACTGTTGCTTATTCCCCTGCATCTGATTGGTCATGATCTGCTCTATCATTGGATTCTGTTGGAGCAAAACTTGCCCCTGAGGCCCCATCATCTGGTTATGTGGCGCCATCATTTGGGGGCCCTGCTGGGGAAGCATCTGCTTGGGTGGGGTCATCCTTTGGGGCGAGGGCCCAAGATTTTGGCTCTGAGGATTCACCATCATCTGACCCTGCGGCATAAGCTGGGCCCTTGAAAGGATCATGGGGTTCTGAGGGTTCAAGGTTCCTTGTTGCTGGACCATCTGGCCCTGGGAGGGCACGATCTGCTGGTGCATGCTCATCAGTTGAGATGGTGGGCCCTGTTGGGGCTGGCCTTGCATGTTGCCCAGGTTCACCTGAGGAACCCCAGAACTACCAGCCTGTTGGTTGTTCATGTTGCCATGAATTCCCATGAGGCTGGGCTGCATCATATTTGGTGGCCCGTGGGACACCTGCATCTGGTTTTGAGGAGGACCAGCTCCTTGACCACCTTAAAAAAAAAAAAGGCACAGTTTCAGCAAGAAATACTATTATCTTGTTGGTGTTAAGATTCTCAAATTACCTTAATTAGAAAAACACCCCTCACCCATATCCAGTGATCAACATAAACAGATATGCTATGTTTAACATATTTCTGTGAGTTTTCTATAGTATGAGGCTGTGACTGTGGCATACATTCTCAGTGACCATACAATAGAGAGAGAGAAACCATTTCTTTATTCCTATTTGGTAACTTGTTAACATTTTGAAGATCAGTATAGTTTTCTTTCTCTTAGACTAAACAAAGAAAGGTGGCATCTTATTATTTAAAAATAACTTGTAACTATCTTAAAATGAAGAAAATTAACAAAAAGTGCTATGGGTAATGAAATAAGTTCTCCTTTAGATGAATCAGGAAACAAAAAATGTACTGCAGCCTCTTAAGAAAATCTCAGCAAAGCTGAGAAGACATTTAACAATGCTCCTTGGGAAACTATAATAAGGACTCTCCAAGGTTATGGATGTGTTATCTGGATGCTTCACTTTATTTATTTATTTATTTTTTGGATGCTTCACTTTAAAGAAAAGAACAGCTAATACTTCCTAAGGATAGGTCTCCCCAATCCCAATGTGGTAAAAATTATTTAATCTTGATCTGGAAGCTGAGACTCTGGTGGAAGTCAACTGACAGACAATTAGGAAGCTGCAAGCAGAGGACAGTCAGAAAGGATGATAAAGCCTCAGTGACCCTCTCCTGTGGCAGTCTCTAGTAGACAACATGGGGCATGTTTCAGTCTTCTTAATTATTTCCAATTCAGACAAAGAACACTTCCTGGCTTGCCACAGTGTATACTTACTGTTAGGTCTTTGGGATTTTCCTACAGCTGCTTATAGTCTCTCTTCCTTTCTGCAGAATAACCTTCTAGCTTATTTTATCTCCTCCCTACCCTTTTCATTTTTAAATGGGGACTAAAAAGTGATAGCCACAATGAAGTTATCAAGCCAGTCCATGCTCCAGCCAGGAGGCAGGGGACAAACTGTCCTTTGTTCATACAATCTAGATTTTTCCTGAATCCTAAGATCTTCCAGATGGGCCTTAAACTGAATTCCATGACCACTGTATATACTATATACACTAAATATTCCAGTATATATTCATTCAATTGACAATCATCTATTGTGTACCTAATATGTGCAAGGCACTTCTGGTACTGAGGTAACATCAATAAGCAAGACAGACCAAATCCCTTACCCCTTGGAGTCTAGTTGGTAAGAGTAAAATAACAAACAGATTAAGTATTTTCACAGGAAGAAGTAAAAGCTAACAAGAGAAATAGAGTAAGAGAACCAGAAATGACAGACAAGAGTAGAGCTATCTTAGATGGGATAAATGGAGAAATCAAAACAGTAAGTGCATGTGGAAGGCACCATATAAAAATAAAAAACAGCTGTGCTTATGTGGAGGAATTATGAATGCTTTTATTACTGTTTTAAAACTTCCTATAGAACGTGAATTTACATAGCTCAGGAATTATAGTTTTGCACTCACTAGCAGATGGGGAAAGTCATGGTTTGCCCTACACTTCTTCAGCCCTTCAAGAGGTAGGTTGAACTTTTTTAAGTTTCGAACTGTTCTCCTTCCTTAGTGATTCAGAGTTAACAGTGGAACTAAACTAACTCCAAATGGGCATGGGAGCTCAGAAGGTATTTGTGCTACCTCAATCGAAACTCCCTATGAGAAAGGGTAAGAGGATTAATCATGTGCTACCTAACAGCATTCAGATACATGCAGTCTGGGCTAATACAATATTGCTTACAAATACTTTCTAGCCATTCTGCTGTACACAATATGCCCTCCTAAATTTCTTCTTATATACAATACACTACTGGCATTACACCTGTATTGATAAAACCTGGTCTTCAAACACCACCTTGTAAACCAGAGTTCAGACACTCAACATATACAATGTTAACATGAATTATAAAGATTTTAAATGTTTCAGTTGTTCAAAATGCCATGTACCTCCATGCCTTTGTACCTACCATCTTCTTTGCCAGAAATACCTTTTGTCCCTTTACTAACTGAGGGATCAGCAACCTATGATCCATGGATCAAACGAGGCCCACTGCCAGCTTTTAAACAGACACGAATTCACTCAGAGTTCAGGAATATAGTTCTGCATTAGCATACAGGCAGTGTGGAACATTGCCGTGCTCATTCATTTATGAATGAGTCTACGGCTACTCTGGTGCCACAACAGCAAAGTTAGGTAGCTGCAACAGAGAACATATAACCTGTGACGCCGAAAATATTTACTACCTGGTTCTTTTCAGGAAAAAAAAATGCTGACTCCAGCTCTACCTGTAGGTTTATCTCCTTTCTTTAGGTGTTTCCAGATTTTTCAAGACATTTTACCTACTTTCAATATAACAGTTATTGCCCTGAAACGAAGGGGAAGGATCAAGGTTTATATTTCTCTGTATATCCTGTTGTCTACCTACCACACAATGCTCAATAAATGCTGGCTGAATAAGTCATAGAAAACAAACCTGCATGCTGGACATTTTGATTCGCTTGCAGCTGAGGGGCTCCTGAATTCCCAGGGGTAGTTGCTGTGGTCGAAGGCACCTGACCTTGCATAAAGTTCGGATTGGCCTGTCCTGCTGAGAAGCCAGGTGGGAGGCGTTTAGGCATTCCTTAATAGAAAACAACGAGTAAGGCAGTTACCTAGCAAATTTATACTCTTGCTTAGATGTGGAATGAATAAGGAAGGATGAGCTGCATGAAGTCTCCACTGGCTTAGCTCTCTCTGTCACACTGGTAGGATCTTTAACAAGGTTGGGAAAGATGGTTAAAAAAATCAACACAATCTCTTACATGAGCATTGTCAAAATGAAAAAGAAATACTAAAAAATTTACACTTAGAACATGCCAAGGAAAAGATGGCAATCTGCTCCCTAAATGTGATCTGAGGCCACGTCACAGCAAGGTTTAGGGCTCACTTTTCTGTAAAACAACGGACCCCAAACCTTTACATACTTTAACATAGGTACCAAAGGAATATGCTAAATTCTCTCATATTCAAACAAACTGATCAGAAATACTATAAAACAAAGACCTGGGTCCTGATATTAAGCATAGGTAGGTGTTTGGTTTTTTGTTTTTTTTTTTTTCCATTGAGGGAATAGATGACAATTTTCTTTGTGGAAAAATTTCTCCCCTGTATTGTGCTGGTCTCTTTGGAAGAGACAAGAGATCAGAAACAATTTATAGGAGCATCAAAGTGAGGTTATATTAAATTTATCATTACACCTTCCCCTCAAAAGGGTTTGCTGAAATTCTGACAGCTATGGTACCAAAAACTGTGCTCTAATGGAATCTTACTAAAGTAATACTTTCTTTTATAGGAAGGTTTAATTTCAGAAAACAAATCTGTAACAAGAAGAATCTCAGAACCCATTCACTGTTTATAACAGAGGCCTGGATGTGGCCAGATCACCTAGGTGAGCACATCATTTGCTCTATGAAAGCATCAAGACCTAAGCTCACTTGAATTAGTCCATTTATGTAAGGGCCAAATTTTCAATGTCCTGAAAAACGCTCTGAAGACAAATATGCATTTGTCCTTTCTTTAGCAGTGACAAGTCCCCATTTGCATGCTTCCATTGTAATTATATCAGTAATCACATTTGCAGGAGGGACTACCCAGCCCCCACTGATCCAAGGCTAGATGCCCAGAACAGTGAAGTTTGGAGCCAAAACATTCTTGCATTTTCTCAAAACTTCTTATGATTCAAATATTACAGCCTGCATGTCAGTAAAAATAATTACAAGAGAGTGAAAAGACTGATGAGCGATTTAATTTTACCAGAAATCATGGGAACATGCCTTTGCTATGTTGCACTAAAGATGCAAGGGTTTTTTTTTTTTTTTTCTGGATAGGCAATGGGTGTCTTTTGGTGGGGGGTATGTTTATCAGGTGACAGTATTACACTCTCTATACCTTACTGAAAAGCTCCAAGCACATTCATGTGCACTAGATCAATGATTAATAAGAATAAATAATAAACATGGAGATGGATAAGTTTTACTGTAATCGTTTTACCTCTCACACATTAAGCTCCATTGCTTTTTCTTCATACAAGAGGCACCTTACAAAATAAATAAATAAATCTCCTTTAGGTATAACTGGTGGAATTCCCTCTCTAAGGAGCAGGCATTGGCATTATAAAACTGTAAAAGTCAATGATTTCTGAACTTACTCCCCTTTAATACTTAAAGCAAATTTAACAAATACCATGCTAATAATATTTTTGCTAACTAGGATTATCAAAATTGAAAACCACAAGGGCCATTTCCCCAACAAAACCCTACACTTATCTTTTCAATTTTGCTCTACTGCATAACCTTAATTTTTTCAACAGTGGAGCAGCTTAACTTGTTAATAAAACCATGATTCTTCCGGACGCCTTAATTTACTAGTACAAGATCAGGCAAAAATATTTTGAAAAACAAAATGAACATATAGCTACATTGAATTTTACCTGCGTTTTTATCCAGAGGACTAGCTTAAACATAACCAGTAAGATGCTGCATAATGTATCAAGTTAACTAAGTCACATCAAGTGTCATCACTATATTCACAAAACCAAATAGTTACATCCTCGTTTCACTCCCTCCATTAACTCTAAAAATTGAAGTGCTACTAAGATCTAGCTCCAGTCAAGTTACCAACACAAATAGCTCCAGTGTTCCTCACCTCCTAGGCCTGGATGTAAACTCTGTGGCCCCTGATTTGGTGGTTGCTGCTGCATCACCATGAAGTTAGGTGGCACGTTTCCCTGTTGAACCATAGGATTCCGACCCGGAGAGCTGACGGGCTGCTGAAATCCCTGGGGAAGTGGGTTATTTTGAGGTGGCCTTGGTCCCATCTGCTGCTGAGTTTGGTTAACCGTTGGGGAGGAAGCAGGGGATCCCTGCTGGAAGGAGGAGGGTGAGGAGGCAGGAGACTTGTTGGTGAGGTGGGGCTGCTGCAGGGGGGTCGGGACCCTAGAGGGCCCTCCCTGCAAACTCTTCATCTGAGGAGCTGTGAACTGGCCTGGGTTGCTCATCTGAGGAAAGTTTGTATGGGCTTGTGAAGCTTGCTGGCTGCCAAAGGGATATGGAGGGGGAGGGTGGGAAGGTGTCTGTACCGTGGCTAAGGATGGTCTTGCCTGGAGCTGCTGTTGCATTGGGCCAGGCAAGGGAGCCTTCTTCCACCCTTGATTTGCAGTCATTGTGCCCAGAGAACTCTGGGCTGGAGGAGGCTGAAGGGCTCCGGAAGGCAGCTGGTTCCAGCCTGGAGGAACAGGCACCTGAGTTGGGGCAGTAAACTGGGGTCGAATTCCCTGTGGCTGTTGCTGCTGATGTTGCTGTGGGGGTCTTGCCTGCAGCTGTTGCTGCTGCTGCTGCTGCTGCTGCTGCAGCTGGGGAAAACTGGCTGGGTTTATTTGTCTGTTCACAGGGACAGGCTGCATTGGGTGGTGCGGGGGTGCTAAAGATCCTGAGGGATGACTTTGTTGCTGTATATGGAGCCCAGAGAGGAGTGGATCCATTGCATCTGTTTAAAGATAGTCAACAAAGCAATAATTAACTTACTGCAACCTAGATTCTAGAGCAATCCTAGAGTCTTGGCAATTCTGAAAAAACAGAGTAAAATCTTCTGGTATCATTTAATGAAATGTTTGTGAGCATTTACTATAATGCAAAACAACTACCGAGATGAGAGAAAGACTGAATCTTGTCTATAAAGAGCGTATGATTCTAAAGTGGATATGAGAGCCAGACAAACTATGCAGAGCAGTATTCTCCAAAGCATATTCTGAGGAACTATGTTTATTAGTATTAGAAGAAAACAAAACAAAAAATAAAGTCAGTCAGGTTTGGGAGACACTGGACCTAACAGCTTTAGACAGGTTTCTTCACTATAGGACTTTCAGTGCTTCCAACATGTTACTTTTGGATTTCTGGGAGGGAGGATCTAGTAGGACACATTAACCAAATTTACTTCACTACAGAATTCTCGGTTATGGAGGAGCAGGATTAAGTAGGCCACGGAATACATTTTTAGGAATGTTGGGGTATAACTGATAAGAATAGTGAGAAACTCTGAGAAGAAATTTTGAAAAGGAAATAATGACTTCCAGCTTGAAGAAACTAGGGCAGATTTTATATAGAAAACAGCATTTAAGCTGGGCAGTTAGAAATCTGGCATCAGAGGGAGAGCTGAATTCTATGATGCTCTGTGCAGACAGTGCAGCCTCTTCAGTTCTCAAAGGATGGAGGTCAATACCTGACTGAGAAGCAGGGCGCGGAGTCCTGGGCTGCAGTTCTGAATTGGGGCCTGGTGCCATCATGGAAGATGACACGTTTCCACCCTGGGGTATCATAACAGTGGCAGGGCTGGTCATCCTTATTAATCCTAGAGAAAAAAAAAAAATCTCTAGAATAGAGTACTGGAATTGACACAATGCTTGTTTTTAATGAAATATTTCAAAGATGTAAAAAGGTATAGAAAATTTTTATACCACCATCTACCTTATTTAAATGTAAACATTCTACCCTGCTTGCTTCATATATATATGCAAATATATATAAGAAGCCTCCTACTCCTTCCCAATCTCATTCCATTCCCTCCTTAACTTACATCTGGGGTTAACAGTTCCAAGTTTTTATCTTTTCTACATATATAAACTGCAATACATTTTTGAATGTTTTTAATTGTTGTATAAGTGATACCATTCTATATGTATTCTTCAATTTCCCTTTTCACTTAATAGTATTTTTTTGAGATTCACCCATCCTGACTATAATAGTACCCCATCTTATGGAGTCAAAACATCCATTCGCCTGGCTGATGAACACTAACTTTTCATCGTTAGAATTTTGCAATGGCATGTATTTGCCCTGTATTCCATAGACATGTAAGAGTCTCTTTAGACTACATACTTAAAATCTCTAAATTTTAAAGGATAAGCATCTTCAATTTTACTAGATATTGGTAAACTGCACTCAAAAGTGGTTATACCAAATTCATACTTTCACTAGAGGTTTGAGAACTCCTCTTGATTCACATCTTGCTAATTTCTGATACTATTAGATTTTCTAGGATTTATTAATAGCATCTACCTTTATAAGTGAAAACAACTTATAATTATCCTCTGCTCTCGTCCTAATTTTAGCATCACGATGAAAACAATTTCAAAGTGAGTTGGAAAGGATCTTTCCTCTTTTTCTATGCTCTGAAAGAATATGTGTATCTGTTCTTTAAATGTTTAGTAAAATTCACCTGTAAAATCATGAGCCTGTGGTTATACTAGTTGATTCACAGGGAGACAGATTATTTTATTTCTTAAGTAGTTGTAGATTTTTCATTTGATATATCTTACTAAGTCAGTTTCAGTTAAATCATACTTTCAAGAAACTTGTTAATTTGCCAATGCTTTCACATTTATTAGCATAAAGTTATTCATGGAATATTCTTTTTTCCCATTCTTTCTAAAAACTGAGATATAACTCACATACCATAATAAAATACACCCTTTAAAGTGTACACTTTTTTTTCATTCTTTACACTGCTCATGCCTCTCTCTTTTTTATTTGTCTTACTAGGATCAACAATTTTAGTTGTCTTTTCAGAGAAACATCTTTTGGTTTTACTGCTCTGTTCCATTGGGTTTTTTAATTCATACTTCACTTATTTCTGCTCTTACCTTTATTATTTCCTTCCTCCTAAATTATTACTTTGCTGTTCTTTTTCTCATTCTTATGTCAGACACTTGGGTCTTTTAATTTTCAGATAGCTCTAGATATCTCAGATTAGGTATTTCAGACTGCTCTAAATATCTGAGGGGTCAAATTTTCTTGTCTACATCTCACAAGTTTTGATATGTACTGTTTTTATTGCCATGTTATGTGCTCAGTTGTGTCTGACTCTTTTTGACCCCATGGACTGTATGTAGCCTGCCAGGCTCCTCTGTCCATGAAATTTTCCAGGCAAGAATACTAGAGTGGGTTGCCATTTCTTGCTCTAGGGGATCTTCCTGACCCAGGGATAGAACCTGCAATCTCCTGCATTGCAGGCAGATTCTAAACCTGCTGAGCCACTGGGGAATTATTCTCATTATATCCTTCTAAATATTTTCTAATGTCCATCTTGAATGCTTTTTTTAAAAAAATCACTGGTTATTTAGAATACATTTTAAAACTTCTAAAAATATGGGATATTTTAGTTTTTTCTTCTTTTTGGCCGCTGACTTGACTTAACTGTACTATGGTCAGAGAAAATGATCTGTGTGATACCTGTATTTGGTATTTACTAAAACCTGCTTTTGGAATAACATAATCAGTTTATACAAATGTCATTTGTGAGAAGATTAAGAATTCTTGAATTATTAGTACAGTTTCTAAGTATCTCCATTATCTCAAACTATTTTAATTATATTGTTTGAGCTTTCTTTATCCTTACTAATTTTTGTTTGATCCACCAATTACTATCGGAGGTGTGTAAAAATCTTCCTTAAGATTTGCTATCTACATGAATCCGGGCCATTTTTACTTCACATATTTAAAGCTAGTTTATTAAAAACACAAAAGTTTAGTTATCTTCCTGGATTTTTCCTCTTATATTTTACAGTCATCCCTTTTATCTCCAGTAATGCTTTTTATCTGATAAAAATAGTTATACTCCTTTTTCTTGGTTAATATTCAACCTGGATTCTCTATTTTCTTCTATCCTTTTGACTATGAACTGAGACCTTATGTTTTATATGATTCCTCTAAGAGTACATAGCTAAATCTGAATTACTCAATCTGATTAATCACTTTCTTTTTATCAGTGCTTATAATCCACTTGCATTTACTGTTAATTACTGGTATATTTTATCATTTTATGATATCACTGTTTTTTACCCTGCTTTTTCTGTGTTTTCCTACTACTCCTGAATTTTATTGGACTTTTTTCCATCATGTCCTTCCTTTTAACCCCTCCACTACTAGTTTAGAAGTTATACCTTCTATTTCTATTATTTTAGTGATATTTTAAAAATGTCAGCAAACATATCTAAAGGCCATGTATGATCATCATTATTACTAAGTAAGTTAATGTTTATTTACATTTACCCAATGTTTACCAATTATTTAGCTCACCATTCCTTCTTAGCTCTTATTTCTTCCATCTTAGGTTCAATTTTCTTCTTCCTGAAGTACATCCTTGAGCAGTTCAATTAGCAAGGGTCTGTTAATGGTAAATTCTCTTAGTCTCTTTAAAAAGGTCTTTAATTCACACTACTCTTGATACTATAGCTTTTGTTTAAAATTCTAGGCTGTTAATTTTCTCATCACTTTGAAAATATTATCCTCGTGTTTCATGGCGTCAATGTTGCCACTGAGAAATTAGCTGTGGGTCTGATAATCTTTCCTTTGTAAACCACTGGTGCTTTATTTTGAATTGCTTTTAACATTCTCCCTGTTTTTCTGCTCTGCAGTTTTACAATTTTGTGTCTAGATGTGAATTTATTTTTTTTTTTTGGTAGGGCTCAGAATTATTGGACTTCTGAATCTGAGGACTTGTGTCTTTCATCAATTCTGGAAAAATTTCAGCCATTCTCTCACTACTGTCACCCCTCAATTTCTTTATTTTCTTCTGGAACTCTTTTCAGGGACATACATTAAGCTTTTTCATTTTATCCTTCACTTCTCTTGACCGCTTTCATATTTCCTTCTATTTACTTATTATCTGTTGCATTCTGGGTAATTTCTTCAAATTCACCTTCCAATTCAGCTGTCTCTAATTGGCTGAATAAGTTACTTACTTCAATAATTTTAAAATTTCTGTAGATTCTATTTTTCCCCTAAATTCTCTTTGTGTTTTGATAGTGTCTTGTTCTCTTCCTAGAATTTTCATTATTTTAAACATGCTGATATTCCTATTACCTAGAATTCTAGAAAGAGGGTCTAATCTTAAATTTTATAAATTCAGAGAATAAGGTCGTTTATAACAGGCAATAAGTATGAGAAATCTGCAATGGTTTGGGGTGAGAGCTTCAATGGTTATTACCACTTCAGAACCATTTAATAACTTAGCTTTGCTGTTCCTGGGTCATTTCAATGACACATGTCCAACATGTATGAGGATAGAGAAGACAATTCTATAACCACCTTTTCCCCCACTCAACTAGAGCCCAGGCCAAGAGAGAAAAGTTTTGTCTTCGGCCTCCTGCGCCAGAGAGTGAAACTTTTTCTTTTCTACCTTTTACTGAAAATACTGGTTCCATGAAGGATTCTGAATTCTAACTTCTTTCTTTATGTGGACCCAAGGCAAGGCTTCCTATTTTATCCCTCTTGGCCATTAAAACTTAAATCCCTTGGCTCCTGCAGCATCTCCTCATGTGTCTTGCTGCTGCTGCTGCTGCTAAGTCGCTCCAGTCGTGTCCGACTCTGTGTGACCCCATAGATGGCAGCCCACCAGACTCCTCTGTTCCTGGGATTCTCCAGGCAAGAATACTGGAGTGGGTTGCCATTTCCTTCTCCCCTCATGTGTTCACTGCTATTTAAATGTTCTTCTTTGTTCTTGCCCTGGGGATTTTCCCTTATTGTCTTACAAGCTCATCTGTGCATTAAATGTTCTATTTTATCCGACATTTTCAGATGTTCTGTAGCTGAGACAGCGCAGCTAGGCAAATGTTTACCTGTTAAAAATGGATTTGTTTCTTTGGAACCCCACCCCACTTTCCAAAGATGGTGATTGGATAGTAAGAAAGTTCTTGGGAAATAAAAAGAAATAGGTTTTCTTAGTCTACAATCAGCTTCCTATCCCCAGAAACGTTTAAGCACATGCTGGCTAACATGCTCAGTAGTGATACTGTAGAATACATTCTAGCACGATGTGGGAAACTTGACTAGAGTCATGCTTCACAACTGGGGGCAATTCTGTCCCCTAAGGGATATATGGAAAGGTCTGCAGATCTGCAGTTGTTGGCACAACTGGGAGGAAGGTGTGGTGGTGCTACTGGCACCTGATAGCAGAGGCCAGGGATGCTGCTGAATATCCTACAAGGCACAGGACAGCTCCCCAAGGGAAAGAATTATCAGTTCAAAACATCAGTAGTGACACATGACTAAATGACTACTGTGGTACCTCATTAATCTTGGGATTCTATGAAGCTATGAAAAAAAACTGGCTATGGATTTGGTTTTCATTTCAAAAGATTCCTGCTTGTCAGTCAAGTTTCTGTTGTCAATGCAAAGAGAATAAAGTAGTGTTAAGAATAATTTAGTCTAAGAAAGACATTCTAGATACACAATTCTAAAATTATTTATTATAGTTTTAGAGGGTAGTTAAGGTCTCTTTCCCTAGAAAAATTTGTTTAGTTTAACTAAATATTAAATTTTGTTTGCATCCACTGTCCCAACAGACAACAGAGAAAAAACATTCTTATTTTAACTATGCTTGGCAGTAAAAAAAAAGGTACTTAGGTGTTAAAATGTTACTGTAACTACAAATCATTACTAATTGATTATTCTTGAAACTTTGTATTGTATATTTTATCACAGTGTCCTTCATTAAACACCAATCTAATTTCAACCTAAAGCTTTTAAGTTTCCTATGTTGATAATGAACTACATACATCACTAAAATTTACACTCAGTTTTCAGAGATACTTAGTAAAGATGCCTGCTGTTTGCCAGATACTAGGAGCACTTGCAATTAGTGTGCTGATATTGGCTTAATGGAATCTTAACATTTTAAGGTTGGAAGGGATCTGTAATATTGTATCTTGGACATAAACATGTTTACAGGTAACTATGGCCAGTAACTATTAAGACATCTGACCAGAAGTTGAGACTAGAACCCAGATTTCCTGAGTCTCATCCTAGGTCTGGTCTTTCTTCCACTAACTATATGCAACTTGGCTATACTCTGCCCACTCTTCTGGCTCTTCAATAGAGGCAACAGTGTCACCTATAATCTCTCATCAAGCTGCCTTAACACCAAATGCTCAGACTTCTGTGGAGAACTAAATTTATTTAACTCCCTACTATAGGTTCCAGGTTGGGTATTTTCCATTTACCATACAGTACTTCAAAACAGCACAACAATACAGATCCTGACATACAACAGGAACTCAGTGAAGGTCTGCTACATTGCTCAAGGCTCATCCATCTTCAAGCAAGAGCTCAAAAGATTATAGGGACTATTATCTCAGTGAAGAAGCTGTTGCATGGAGAGGTAGTGGCTCGCTTGAGGTAAACATGAAGTGGCAGTGCCAGGATAAAAACCTAGTTCCAATTCTCCATGGCCAAGTCTTCAGCTACAGTTCAGAAAAAAATGGCTTTACAAACTGAGCTTCTCTATTCTGCTGCATTTCTTCAAGAGCTACTGTGGTAGGTTGGAAGTGAATGATCGGGTATAATTTCACATACTGAGACTCTCCTTCAACCACAGCAGCTGTGCTTTTCTGGCTTATTTGAATAAAAGTTCCTACAGCACAAAAAGCCTGAAAGCTGCTAGTGCAGTGAAAATAGCACTGACCTGGGGAGTCAGATTTGCCCACTGCTACTTGACCATGGGCAAACTGCTTCCTTTCTGTGAACTCCACAGTTTCTCCAGCTTAAAATGAGAGTACCAACTCAATTCTAACTTTCTTTGACTCACAGAACGTGGGTTCAATCTCTAAAGAAGAAATTTCAGGACTGCTACAAAGGTAGCAAATAATCTGTAACTCTCTCAAATTCTAAATACATAAAAACACATACTCTCCCACATACTTCTACAGATTCCACCTAAGCATGCACAAACTCCCAGATTCTCAGTCACAGAGAAAGGTGACTCTTTCTCTTTCATAACATAGAAGGCTATGTTATGCTATAAACACCCTGAGGATAGAAGATGCTTTATTCAGTTCTACTTGCAACACTTAGCATAGGTCCTATCATACAATGAGAACTCAATAAATGTTTCCTGCATGGCTCAGGGCTCATCTACCTTTAAGTATGAGCCCCAAACATCACAAAGACTATATAAGCTCCATGCTCTGTGATTCTAGTCTCCTAAGAGTCTAGATTCATGTTTTGTTTTCCTGAACAAATCAATAGAAATGTGTTAGGAACCCCCACCTATCTTGCAGGACTCAAATGATTATACATTAGCAAATAAAGCCAAAAAAAGGAAACTAGTCAAATGTCATACAACTGAGTGAGAGATCTCACCTGGACCGCCTGCCATGGGAAATCCCGCTTCCATCCTAACTGAATTTCCAGCTCCCATGGGTCCATTCATTCTCACATCTTGGCTCCGGTTCTGAGCCAAAGCCAGGTTGATAGCACCTTCCCCTGAAAATGATAGTCAGGTTTAAAAGAAATCATCAGAATAAGATGTAAATTTTGTTGAAAAACAGATATACAAGAGCTTTAGTTTTATGTGTTTTTGAAGAATTATGCTAAGTTTACCACCACAAAAAGGGTGAGTTCAGTACTATACAGGCCTCTTTTCAACCTCACCTGAGCGGGTTCACTTACATGAAGCACAAGAAGAACATAACTAATTCTCACAACACAGCAGATGGACAATCATTAATGATGTATGGCATCAGCAGAGAGCTTGGAAGGCTGAATATTTACTTTCAACCAACTCATATGTGTGTAGGAAGAAAATATTCTCAGAAAGTCTCAAATCCTAGATTACTTTTTGAGAATTTATGATCAGAAATTAGAAATATGAGTAGGTCTAATGCAGAAAGAATATACAATGTCATGAGGACACTGTGGTATTTGTAAGTAAAATACCATCTTCCTTTCAACAACTGCAATATAAAGAGACATGCAGAGGAGAAACTCATGCAATGAAGAGTAGATACGCTGCTACTAATCTACCTCTGAGATCTGATAAGAGCAATATTTGTATAGGGATTTTAATGCTTAAAAAAACGTATCTCATTTGAACCTCACAATAGCCTGGTAGATAAATGTCACTAGAAGTGTTCCAATTGAGTAGACTCTAAAGTTAAAGGCTATTTATTTACTTTAATTAGAATTACAGGATGAAATTTATTTTTTAGTAAATATCATGTACCTAGAAGAATGCATGAAACAAATTCATTTCAAAGAATAATTGCAACACAAACCTCACATAACCACCATTTTAAGGAGCAGACTCCCTGTAAGCCCTTCGTGCTCCTTTAACATCGCATGCTTTTCCTTTCCCGCTGGAGTTAACTACTAAAGTTAGGGGCAATTTAAACCTCACTTAATAAAAAGATCTCTGAAACAAGTTTCGAGATGCTTCCTGAGCTTAAGCCCAAATTTTGACTATTCTTCCTCTGGTAGACAGCACCACCTTGTGGACAGAAAAAAGTATAGCTAGCTTGTGGTCGAGGATTTGAAAGGCTGCATTCACCATACCATGCTCCTACTGTTTTAGGGCAAGAGGACAAAGAATGAAGCCAATGAAGGCACAGTAGTTTCATGTCTTGTCATGATATAGGTCAGCTAGATAAATAGATAAAATATTAACTATTGTAACCAGGCAGATAACTTGGTAACAGGGAACAAATATCCTAACAATAAGTGACCAATCACCAAGGGTATATACAATGTTCTAAATTGCCTATGGGAGTTAGGAATGAAAGAGAAAAAGAATACAGATCTTGACGGTTTCCACCAAAGGGAGAGAACTATTAACATATTAAATTTGCAAAGATGTTCTAGGTGGAAGGACTTTTGTTTTTGAAATGGACAACAGATCATAAAAGTGGCTTGTGGCAACAGATGGAGAAATATACCGTGTTCATGGATTGGAAGAATCAATATTTTCAAAATGACTATACTACCCAAAGCAATCTATAGATTCAATGCAATCCCTATCAAGCTACCAACGGTATTTTTCACAGAATTAGAACAAATAATTTCACAATTTGTATGGAAATACAAAAAAACTCGAATAGCCAAAGTAATCTTGAGAAAGAAGAAAGGAACTGGAGGAATCAACTTGCCTGACTTCAGAATATACTACAAAGCCACAGTCATCAAGACAGTATGGTACTGGCACAAAGACAGAAATATAGATCAATGGAACAGAACAGAAAGCCCAGAGATAAATCCACAAACCTATGGACACCTTATCTTCGACAAACGAGGCAAAAATATACAATGGAAAAAATACAACCTTTTTAACAAGTGGTGCTGGCAAAACTGGTCAACCACTTGTAAAAGAACGAAACTAGAACACTTTCTAACACCATACACAAAAATAAACTCAAAATGGATTAAAGATCTAAATGTAAGACCAGAAACTATAAAACTCCTAGAGGAGAACATAGGCAAAACACTCTCCGACATAAATCACAGCAGGATCCTCTATGACCCACCTCCCAGAATATTGGAAATGTTTGTTTGTTTTTTAAATGAACAGAATATATGAATTTCATTGTAGTCAAATTTATCAATTTTTCCCCTTATATTAACAATTAGTAGTTTTTAAAACTCGTTATAGAAATTTTCGCCTACCTTGGGGTCATCAAACTATTGTCCTGTTTTTTCTAAAACCTTTATTGCTTTACTTTTCACATTTATACATATCCACAATCTATTGGAAGTTTGATAATAGGTTATGGCCTTTATGCAAGGTGCATTTTTTTTCTTTCTTAGAAGTCAGATTTATTGAGATATAATGTATACACATTAAAATTCACCCTTTTAAGTGTACAGTTCAGCAATTTTTGACAAACAAATACAGTTTCTGTTTGCTAATATTTTGTTTAAAACTTTTTGTCTATATTTGTGAGAAAGAGACTGATCTGTAATTGTCATTTCTTATGATGTCCTTTGCTGGTCTTATAAAATGAGCTTTGAAATGTCCCTTATTTATCAATTATCTGGAAGAGTTTGTGTAAGACTGGTGCTATTGCTTCCTTAAATGTTTGAAGGAATTTACCAGTGAGGCTACCTGGACCTGGAGTTTTCCTTGTGGAAATATTTTAAATAGTAGAGTCAATGTTTAGGTAGATATTGCCGCAATCATTCAATGCTTAAATAGCTATTGCAGTATTCACATTTTCTAATTTTTTTTCTTGTGTCAGTTTTGATAGTCTCTATTTTTCAAGGCATTTGCCAATTTTTAAAAACTGTCAAATTTGTAGAAATAAAATTATTCTTGATATCCTCTTATCATTTTAATGTTTGTAGGGTCTTTGTTAATATATTAGTTTTTATGTCTAATATTGTTTAGTGTGTTTTCTTTCTTTTTCCATTGAACAGTTTTGCTGATCCCTGGGTTGGGAAGATCCCCTGTAGAAGGAAATGGCAACCCACTCCAGTATTCTTGCCTGGGAAATCCCATGGACAGAAGAGCTTGGTGGGCTACAGTCCATGGGGTCACAAAGAGTCGGACACTAGTGAGCGACTAATACTTTGACTACCAGTTTGATTAATCTTTGTGAAGAGTTCATTCTTGGCTTTGCTGATTTTTCTCTATGTGTGACTTTTCTGTTTTATGAATGCTCCACTCTTCCTGTTATTATTTCCCGCCTTCCACTTTCTTCGGATTTGATTTGCTCTTCTTTATCTGTTCTCTTGTTTACTTATTTATTTGTTGCTTGAAATAGATGCTGAGACCATTGATTTTCAGCTTTGCTAATACACACATTTCAGGCTATAGTTGTTTCTTGAAGGACTGCATTAGGTGCATCCACAAATGTTGACATATCATACCTTGATTATCTGTATCAGTCAAGGTTTTATAAGGGAACAGAGTCTTTAGGAGCTGTATGTAGAAAGGATTACATTCCAGATCATGCAGCTGTAGGTGCTGAGTAGCAGAGGACTCTAGGATGTTGCTTCTGCCCTGGTGCTACAGCCTCAGGTCTACAGTTTGGGCAGCCAGCAAGGAAAGACAGATGTCAAAGACAGGTGTCCGGGTTGAAGGAGAACTGGAACATTCCCAGTTCTCTCACTGCCTCTGAGTCTCAGCGCTGAGCGGCCTGTAGCACGAGGCACGCTGTCTGTCACCGAGGCCATCACTGGCGCACATGCCAACACTCCCTCGCTCTGGAGTAGGAGCAGGGGCCTGGGACGAGCTCAGCTCTGCCCCGACCAGCCAGAAACCTGGAAAGTCTCTTCAGGGCTGCTATGAGCTCTGCTTTCCATCTCTGAAGCCCAAGAGGCGGATGGACTTGGAGCTTGGAGACAAGTTGGGCCCTGACTTGGGCTCCAAAAATGTTAAAAAAAGGACACAAAAGGGATTTGGGGACCAGCCTGGATCCTTGACCCCTGTCATCAAGGGACCAAAGCCTCTTTGGCCTTTACCCACTTCCCAGGAGTCCTTCCCTTTGACTTCTGATTAGGGAGAAAGCGTGAGCTGGAAGTGGCTGGATGTGGAAAATTTGTTTTAGCGCTGAATCTGCCATGGTTTGCCCCTAATCACCCATACGTGCCATCAGGACTAAAGATGGTCGCTATAGAAACCTAACCTTGAGACTCCCTCCAGACGCCCCAGGCAAGCCCACTTCCTTAGCAGGTGAGAACACCGAGGCATACAGAGGCCCAGTGACTGACAAAAGAGCATGCACTTCACTCGGTGGCCAGGATTAGGAACCAGGCGTGATCTTTCTGCTGCAGAATTGTCATCATGATCACCATGATCCCTCCCTCCCCTCCCATCTTCCAGGCCAATTAGTTCCCACATCCCCTTAGCTCTAATAGTTGCGAGTGGCAGGTTTGGTAGGCTCAGATGTGAGAAGAAATCTGTTGGTCTGTGCAGCCGTGGACCATCTGGCCACTGACCAGATAAAATTCAACCTGGGTGGTGTGCGAGGAGCTCTAGGCTCTGGTGGATTTGGAAGGTTTGGCAGATTTTAGAGGTAGGCGTGCGGGACCGTTTGTCAGAACCTGGGAGTCTGTTATCTCTGGAAACTCTAGGAGCCGCTCATGTAGGTTTCTGATCCTCCTAGGCTGGAACCAAATACTGTTGTGGAAGGTCTGAACACTTTCCCTAGGGACCAACAGCCCTTGGGGATGTGGGTGATGTATGTGCACGTAAGTATGCATGTGTGTGTGTGCTCTTTACAAAAAGGGAGAGGGCAGAGCACTGGGGTGAAATGGTACCGTGTGGGCAAAACCAGGCTGTGGTTTAGGCAGCGATCCAACCGCAGCGGTCTCAGCACTGGGAGAGGGTCCTAGGGGAGAGACGGAAACCCTCAGGCCTTGGGGATGGGGATTGGAGGCAGAGGTTTTGTCTGTTACTAAAACATTTGAAAGCTGAGAGTGGTGACACTATCCAATCAACCTCTTCCTGGAGCTTCAG